CAAGTATCATAATATCCCCCTCCCCTGCCCCCCCATGTGTCCCTGTAGCCCCCTGCTCCATCTGTCCCATTATAGCCCCCTCCCTAACCCCCATGTATCCCTATAGCCCCCTAGTGTCCCATTATAGTGCCTTCCCCAGCCCCCCATGTGTCACTATAGTCCCCGAGACCCCATGTGTCCCATTATAGCTCACTCCCCAGCCCCCAGGCCCCATGTTTCCCATTATAGCCCTCCCCAGCCCCCAGACCCCATATGTCCCATTATAGCCCCCCTCCCCAGTCCCCATGTGTCTCTATAGCCCGTGAGACCCAATGTGTCCCATTAGAGCCCCCTCCCCAGCCCCCATGTGTCCCATTATAGCCCCCCCTCTCCCTGTACTTTGCTGTAGCGTGGCCGAGCAGGCAGACCGCGGTAGAAGAGTTTCTGTTCCCCTACCCGGTCTGACAGGAAGTAGTCATGTGCTCTCTGTGAGCACTTCCTGTCAGACGAGGTAGGGGAACAGAATCTCCTCTACCGTGGTCTGCCTGTTCGGCTGCGTTATACTCTGTGTCCCCTCCTGCGGTTACTGTGTAATTCCGCCATGCGACCCACGGGCCAGTGCGCACTAGGAGGCCACATACCGGCCCGATAGTATACCGGCCCACCAGGAAATTTCCCGGTATCCCAGTGGACCAGTCCAGCCCTGCGGTTTATGGTAGAGAAATGAACATACAATTCACGGGCAACAGCTCTGGTGGACATTCCTGCAGTCAGCATGCCAATTGCACACTCCCTCAAAACTTGCGACATCTGTAGCATTATGCTGTGTGATAAAACTGTACATTTTAGAGTGGCCTTTTATTGTGGCCAGCCTAAGGCACACCTGTGCAATAATCATGCTGTCTAATCAGCATCTTGATATGCCATACCTGTGAGGTGGATAGATTATCTCGGCAAAGGAGACGTGCTCACAAACACAGATTTAGACAGATTTGTGAACAATATTTGAGAGAAATAGGCCTTTTGTGCACATAGAAAAGTATTAGATCAGCTCATGAAAAATGGGGGCAAAAACAAAAGTGTTGCGTTTAGAATTAAAAACTCATCTGGGGGGTGGGGGGGGGAAACATTTCAGGTGATTCGGGTTTCATCCATGTTGCGTTACAGTTTGTATGGATTTCATCCATATGGTAGTTTTGGGAAAAAATGATTCTGAAGAACCAAAATGGCTCAAAAATTGGCTAATTAGTGCACATAATGATATATATACACTGCTCAAAAAAATAAAGGGAACACTTAAACAACACAATGTAACTCAAAGTCAATCACACTTCTGTGAAATCAAACTGTCCACTTAGGAAGCAACACTGAGTGACAATCAATTTCACATGCTGTTGTGCAAATGGAATAGACAACAGGTGGAAATTATAGGCAATTAGCAAGACACCCCCAATAAAGGAGTGGTTCTGCAGGTGATGACCATAAACCACTTCTCAGTTCCTATGCTTCCTTGCTGATATTTTGGTCACTTTCAAATGCTGGCGGTGCTTTCATTTTAGTGGTATCATGAGACGGAGTCTACAACCCACACGAGTGGCTCAGGTAGTGCAGCTCATCTAGGATGGCACATCAATGCGAGCTGTGGCAAGAAGGTTTGCTGTGTCTGTCAGTGTAGTGTCCAGAGCATGGAGGCGCTACCAGGAGACAGGCCAGTACATCAGGAGACGTGGAGAAGGCCGTAGGAGGGCAACAACCCAGCAGCAGGGCCGCTACCTCAGCCTTTGTGCAAGGAGGAACAGGAGGAGCACTGCCAGAGCCCTGCAAAATGACCTCCAGCAGGCCACAAATATGCATGTGTCTGCTCAAACGGTCAGAAACAGACTCCATGAGGGTGGTATAAGGGCCCGACGTCCACAGGTGGGGGATGTGCTTACAGCCCAACACCGTGCAGGACGTTTGGCATTTGCCAGAGAACACCAAGATTGGCAAATTCGCCACTGGCACCCTGTGCTCTTCACAGATGAAAGCAGGTTCACATTGAGCACATGTGACAGACGTGACATAGTCTGGAGATGCTGTGGAGAACGTTTTGCGCTGCCTGCAACATCCTCCAGCATGACCGGTTTGGCAGTGGGTCAGTAATGGTGTGGGGTGGCATTTCTTTGGGGGGCCGCACAGCCCTCCATGTGCTCGCCAGAGGTAGCCTGGCTGCCATTAGGTATCGAGATGAGATCCTCCGACCCCTTGTGAGACCATATGCTAGTGCGGTTGGCCCTGGGTTCCTCCTAATGCAAGACAATGCTAGACCTCATGTGGCTGGAGTGTGTCAGCAGTTCCTGCAAGATGAAGGCATTGATGCTATGGACTAGCCTGCCCGTTCCCCAGACCTGAATCCAATTGAGCACATCTGGGACATCATGTCTCGCTCCATCTACCAAACCAACGTCACGTTGCACCACAGACTGGAGTTGGCAGATGCTTTAGTCCAGGTCTGGGACGAGATCCCTCAGGAGACCATCCGCCACCTCATCAGGAGCATGCACAGGCGTTGTAGGGAGGTCATACAGGCACGTGGAGGCCACACACACTAGTGAGCCTCATTTTGACTTGCTTTAGGGACATTACATCAAAGTTGGATCAGCCTGTAGTGTGGTTTTCCACTTTAATTTTGAGTGTGACTCTAAATCCAGACCTCCATGTGTTGAAAAATTTGATTTCCATTTTTTAATTTTTGTGTGATTTTGTTTTCAGCACATTCAACTATGTAAAGAACAAAGTATTTCAGAAGAATATTTAATTCATTCAGATCTAGGATGTGTTATTTTTGTGTTCCCTTAAATTTTTTGAGCAGTGTATAATATAATCGATATTTTTAGAAAATTTTTGCCACCATTGACGGAACTCTGAATTACAAAACAAACAAAACGGTCTGTTTGTTTCATGATTCGTACATTAAGCGTTTCAGAGTTTGTGATTTTAGACAAATAGCAGATCACCCAAAATCTGGACAAATCACGATTTGTTTGAAGCTGAATGCACAAGACTACTATTAGTTTGTGATTTGTTTGTATTCTTAATGCTTGAGCTTTGATACATTTTAAATGGTTATAAATTACAGACACATGTTTCTGAATTGTAGGGGGTGTGTTTTTTGTTGTTTATTTTTACTTTGAATATGTTACACTTTGCTGACTTGTCCTACGGTGGTTATATGTTTATTAGTATGAATGTTCGTCGTCATATTATATCAAAGACTGTGGAATGTTATGTACTGTAGATGGTAATTTTATTGTCTGCTCTATAAAATAATGGAATATGCATTTTAGTAGAGTTCATAAAGATTAGTAGGAAACCGCTTTGAATCTGCTGATTGCTGCATTAAGTAATCAAGAGGCCAATGAACCCACATTTAAAGTGCATTTAGCGGTGGAAGCAATTAAGTGACTTTAATAAATATTTTATAATTATTTCTATTGTGGTGAGGAGTGCTGCTGTAATGTCACAATAGGGACTCTTTCCATATTATACATATTCAAATAGAAAAGTTTCATTTGGGATTGATACATAGAGCACAATTGCTAGACAATGTTTGGTCCAAGTATGTGTTTAAATTGCTGTGAAAAATGTCTTAAGGAGACACTCCAAACCCCTAAATGACTTTAGCTTGCTGAATTGCTTTATATGTGAACAGTGTGTCCTTTTTCCCCCCTCATTTTATAAAAAGTGCAGATATCAATAGAAATTGGTACTTTTATAACCTTATTACACCCTTCAGTCTCTTATGTAACAACAGGTCCTGTTACTTCCTGGTTTATTTAGCTCAGTGGACCTTAACCTAAGAGGCAGCAATTGACCAGAGCACCTGCCTTGCAAACACTTCGCGTTGAGCTGCATTGGGAAGTATGTGATTGGTCAGCCACAGAAAGTCTGGGAGGGGCTAGAAGGGGAAGATTTGCAAAGCCTGCAGACAAAATATCGGCAGCATTGCAAGCTGTTTTTAGGGATACCAACATTGAAAACAACACATAACTAAATACATACATGTTTTAAATTTAGGTGTATCTACAAAATATTTACTTTGTAATATTTATGTATTTGAGCAGAGTGTCCTTAATTGGTTAAAGGATGATCCTTTTTAAGAGATGTAATTAGTGGGAAAACAGGGGTTTACCCAAAATGTTTAGGTGACTTCATGACCTACTAATATCGATACATTGAACTGTGAGGGGTAGTGAGTTAAACACGTAGAAGAGGTGAATATCAAAGCTTACCCTCTTCAGCCCAAACACTATGCATAACATATAGAGCAGATGACTATAGTATTATGTTGGGAAACTATGTAAGGAGATGCCAAATCCCATTACATTAATTAGTGCCAATGCCCTCCTATTGCCAATAGTGCAACGTAAAAGGGGAAACTAATATATGAGATAGACGCATTACATGCAAAGCAAGATAGTTCAAGCCGTGATTTGTCATAAGCGCTATGATTATGGCTTACAGCTCATTAAAACCCCATATCACGATATTCTAATTTTTCAAGTATCACCTGTAGTTCTATGACCACAAGTAATGTTTGATGTTCTCTCTCAATACAGGAATTGTAAAAGAGCATAATATAACACTATAACTAACCGTAATTGTGGATGTCAGTATACGAATTAACGTGTGAATTTATGTGTAGTTGTAAGCTGGTCAGTAAAATGTTTAAATAAAATAAAAAATAAAACAACAATATAATAAATTACACATTTGTTTGCAAGATGGCTAACAAAACATAGAAATGAACTAATGCCTTTACAAAGTGTTACAGTGGGATCTTTTTATCACAGACATCCATCATCTGTGACTGTAATGGTTAAACCCCATGGCCAGTCTAGAATTGCATAATATATTATCACCGACGTATTGTATGTAAATAGTACTTGGTTTATTCATTGAAGCTCAGAGTCCTAGAAGTTTCCCAGCAACTGAAAACGACAAACTGCTCTGCTCTGCTTGTGTTTGGCTTATTGTTGCTGGGGAGTGGCAAAGGCAAAGTGGCCGGTAAAAGACTTTAACTGTGTCTAACTTACTACAAAACTTTGTCAGTGGGATCTCTTAGACAGTAACACATAGCTGAACGTGGAAGAGATGAGCAATCAAGAGGTAGTCACGGTAAATGTTGGAGGTACAAAGTTCACCACATTTCCCTCAACGTTGATGAGATTTCCAGAGTCCAGGCTGGCGCACATGTTGGATGGCAGTGATCGTGAGTTTAGGATGGTGAATGGTCAAGTCTTTGTAGACAGAGATGGGACTTTGTTTAGCTATATTCTTGATTTCTTGAGGACGTCCCAGCTCTCCCTACCTCCTGACTTCTCAGATTACGAGAGACTGCAAAGAGAAGCAGAATTTTACCAACTTCAAAACCTGGCAGATTTGCTTGGCCATGAGAGCTTTTATCGGCCTAGACTGGAGATCCTGGAAGTGCGATTTCTTGTCCAGGAAACCCACTCTTATTTCCGCATCTTTTGCTCATGTAGTAGCACTATTGAAATGCTGACAGACCGGGTTATAATGTATGTGGAGCAACCGATCGGAGGACAGAGCTGGACCTTTCCATTCTCGGCACAAAAACCACTGGCACCGGTGCCTCTACAAAGACCCTCACATCATGACCTCATATTCCAGTGTGGAACAGACTATGCCACTGGAGATCAGTTTGGAGCCAGGTGATTACCATTCAAAATATGTCATTAAACACAGCTGTGAGTGATTTAATAGTGTTTAACAGGGTGAATAAAGGAAGAGAGGAATCCTCACCAACAAACAGGTCCCTGAATTTATTGAAATCTTTTTAATGGACAATATTTATTTGTGTATAGTTCATATGTTACACGAGTAGAAAAATACCACCAGATCTCCAACTGTAACTCCCCCAAAAATATTACCAGCCACTTATACTTTTGGCAGTCATTGGAATAGGAGAGCATATGTTACCATAGGACTGGTAACAACTGAAAGCCCGACATTTTATTAAGTAATAGATTTATATTTATACATATATATATATTTTTAGTAATGGATGTAGGCATACTGTAAGACACTTGATAATTTAATCTATCCATCTAGCTTTGCAAAAGTAAAATGTTGTTTTATAGTTGGTGCAGAAATTGTTAAAAAAATTAATTTATTTAGGAGTATGGATACTAATTGCAATGCAGAGGTAGGACGAAATACCAATATATTTAGGAATATTAGGAACTGCCACTTACTCTGTTTTTTTTTTGTTTTTTTTAATACGACGTTTACTCATCCCTATATTTAACTTATATGTATTTGTGAGGTGTAAAAAAGTTTAATTAAATGTAGGAACCACACCTATTTCTCCTACAATTGGGTGCCTCCATCTTAGCTCCCTGTCAATCATTGTTGCAAGCTCTACTGGAAGTCCGCATAGAGAAAGCATACAGAGAAGAGATGAAATAACACTATTTCTATTTCTACTCTTCTTGTTTTGTCATGGTTTTGCCTTGTCTAGACTGGATTATAGATGTGAAGAAAACAGTGCATCCTATGAAGAAAAATGGTTAACATGAGTAATGGAGTAACTCTTATTATTCACTAGTGTAAATTTGAAAGGAATAAAATTAAAAAGACAGTTGCCCTTTAATATGAATATTAAAGTAACCTAATCATCTAAAAAAAAAGGTTTCATTCAAATTAAATTTGAGGCTTTACTGCAAAATAAATAAAGTAAATTCTGAGAATAATGTCTGGATTGTCCAGTCCAATGCCACCCGTAACGGTATTTAATATGGGTTATTAGAAGGGGCAACATAATCAGTTCATTTCAAATATTCTCAAGTATGTTCACCAACCCACTTATACTCTGTTACACTAACTCTGTATGGCTTCCTAAATAAGAATATCAAACTCCCCCAGCAGAATCTAGCTCATAGAATCGATTACATTTACCTTCCTAGAGTTCTAGAGATGTAGGACTATATTCACTACACAGGGCATTGTGGGGATTCTGAATAATTAAAGGTACGTTCCAAACATCTAAAGTCGTTCTTTTTTTTATTTTTTTTTATTTTACAACAGGTGCTATCAGACAACTGGTCCTATTACTTTGTGATTGTTTAGCTCAGTGGAGTTAAAGGACCACTCCAAATGAATTATTAATTTTAAAATAAAATTCATTATTTAGTAGACATACTGATCTGTGGTCTGTGAAGGAGCTGAACTGAGGTGTGAAGATGCTGCTGTGAGATCTGTGCGTCTGTCTAGAGGAGCTAATGCAAGAAGGCCGTAAACCTACCTGGCTGTTTGATTGACAGTCAGGCTGGTGTTTCATGATTTATTTCTAAAAGTGCCGATTTCTCATAGAAAAGGGCACTTTTATAAACTGGGCTAAAAATAGGATACCCCTCAGCTGGAGCACTTTATGGGTTGGGACTGGCCCTTTAAACTTAAGAGGCAGACGATTACTTAGAGCGCCTGCATTGCAAAGACTTCTTACTGAGCTGCATTGGGGACAGCCACAGAAAGTCTGAGCTGGGTTAGAAGGGAGAAGAGTTTGCACAGGGACCAGACCAGCTGTTTGTAAGTAAACCACAATGAAAAAGAAATGCATATTTATTTTTTATTTTATTTATTTGGGCAGTGAAGTGTCCCTTTTGTTTTGCCCAAAATAGCTGTTCTAGAAATAAATAATCTTTTATTATTTTTCAACATTGGCTATATTAGGCGTGTATCTTCCTATCAGCTATTGTGACCTACATGTTGCAATTATCTTGTTAATTGCCTGGTAAGTATTTTCTATGACATATGGCAAGAGCTTCACTAATCATGCATTTCTCGTTGGATAGGTATGTCTCCATAAAACCTGATCAAAGGAAACTGTTAAATGGGACCAATGTTCTCGGACTCTTGCTGGATATTTTACTAAAGGAGGGCTTCAGTCTGATTAGCACTAGGTCTGTGGCATCTGAAGAGAAGGTGGAGTGCTATACATTTCAGAGGAAGAAGAGAGCGGAAGTGTTCACAGTTAATGAAGCTCCTAAAACGGAAAACAATGTACAAATACAAGGGAAGCAAGTCAAGTCGAACAAAAAGAGATGAAGTCTCAGCAACCATTTCATCAATATCATTTTACCATTCTATCACATCATTTTAGTTATACTGATGAGGTGTTACTTTATAGACAATGCAATGTCATCCAAGGGTGACCTTGTATGGACATGTTATGTCTGGACTATAATACTGCTAACACAGTTAGTTGATAGCGATGATGGACTTTGCACAAGGAAGCAGGTTATCAGCTCTTTGCCCCAACATGATTTCGTCTACACTATGCTAGCAAATGTATAGATTTATTTATAGAATATTATTTGCTACCGTGCCATTACCATAGAGTTTTGAATTTTAGTTACGCTGATCAGAAATGTGTGCACCTGCAGCAAATCACACAATGCACATGTCCAGAATGCTATGTGAGCAGCTTAAATCAGGAACTGAGTCGTGTGCCATGTGGGATCCACCCTTTGTCAGTCGGTGATGGTGGAAAGTTTTGGTAGAATATATATCAATATTAACCTACCAAAAACTTTTGCCCCATTGGTCATCATCAGCCACCTCCTTTAATCTGCACATCTTACTGAACAGAACAAGTGCCAAGCTTTGAGTATGTAAACTATAATATTTGTTGCAGATTTCAATAGCACACTGTAAAAATAATATTTCTAATAATTATTATTATTGCTGGTATTTATATAGCGCCAGCATATTCCGTAGTGCTTTACAATATTATCAAAGGGGGAGATTTAACAATAAATGAGACAATTACAAAAACTTACAGAAACAATAGGTTGAAGAGGACCCTGCTCAAACGAGCTTACAGTCAATCACTTGAAGTGCTTACTTCAGAAAAATATTTAATAATGAAAGATTCTTTACCTTAGAGACAAAATATGTTTCACGAATTCACACAAACGGTTCATAAGATTTTAATAAAAGTATTTTTCTATATTTCAAGTTTAGATGATATTTAAAGAAAAGGACAATATAATGGAAACGGTGAAGAATATACCAATACAAAACGTTAATTAAGTAAAGCTTCGATCCTTCTAGGGATGTGGTAAATGGAGTCCCAATCTGTATGTAATGTGATATGTCACCATTTTTACAATAATTTCCGTTAACATTTTTGGACAAAGCAAATTGGTGCCTGAACAAATTGCAAATGATCTAAACTATAAAATAATTAAATCTGATCAAATTATTTGGACAAACTAAATTTTTATCCTGTTCTCAAGTCTACATTAAAGGGACACAATAGTCACCAGAACAACTACAGCTTATTGTATTTGTTCTGGTGCGTATAATCATTTCCCTATGGCTTTTTGCAGTAAACCCTGTCTATTCAGAGAAAAGGCAGTGTTTACATTACAGCCTAGGGACACCTCCACTGGCCACTCCTCACATGGCTACTAGAGGTGCTTCCTGGGGCAGTGATGCACACTCACAGATATTCAGTGTCTCCTATCTCTGTATGGAGACACTGAACTTTCCTCATAGATCTGCCTCCTTGACAGACTCAGCCAATCCTATGCTTTTTTTATGGAAGAGCATTGTGATTGGTTCTGATCACCACTTCTGATGATGTCTGCCAAGCAGCCAGAGCCAGCAGCAGACTGAATTAAATGTAAGATGATCTATAGTATTTATAGTGACCTTTAAAGTTATAAAATAATGCAGGGTATTTATCAGACCTATTGACTCCCAAGAGCTGGCTATCACTTACATATTTCTTAGCATTTTGGTAATAGATATTAACAGGGTTACTTACTACAGCAGGGCTTGACAAATCACAGGCGGCATTGTGACTAGGATTTTTGTCATGGCGTCTGGGATTTGTTGGCCAATTAGCCCCCGAGGTGGCCAGCTTATAAAGAGCATTGGCGTGCATGCGGTCGGTCAGCTCAGGAAGACATCCTTTGGCTTTCTCCAAACATAAGCCCTTGTGGTGCAGAAAATAAAGTGAACGATGACCCATATATAATTTCAGACTTTATAGCTTATTTCTCTGTTGCCCACAAATCCAGGTTTTGTGCCTTTCACACCCGGATATGCATCAAAGTCCATTGGTATTAAATCAAAGTAATTTCTTAATGCTACCCATCCCTTAAGTTCCAGCTTTGCTGACAATATTCTTGGTGAGATGCTGTGGTGCTGATTTGAGTTGCAAACGAACAGCCTCAAGAACATCCATGTGAAGGGACTGTCTATCCCTGGAGCTTTGAATCATGACCTGCATGAACAAAGGTAGAGGTGTGTGAGTAGGAAGGGGGTGATGGTAGTGTTGGCAGTGAGCACTAACAAGAACATTGCCAGCCAACTAAGCTTATGTAATGCATTCACCTACCCAAGAGCTTATGGGTTGGTACACTCCGCTCTTTATGGATTATTAACCCCAAAGGGACACACATTCTGGAATAAAAGTGAATCATGACGGAATATTTCCGTCATGTGTCCTTAACCCCTTAAGGACACATGAAATGTGTGACATGTCATGATTCCCTTTAATTCCAGAAGTTTGGTCCTTAATGGGGTTAATGTTGTCCTAGAGAAGCAGGGCACAGAAATAATCTAGAATGGTGGAACACAGGTTCTAAACAGTGACTGCTTCACCACTTAGGAGGTACGCATAATGGATTGTATGTATCTGACCCCATTGTACCGTGAGATTGCAAACCCTTGCGCCATTTAGACATATACTACATCTTCATGGCTGGTGTGACATAAAGACATATTTGGAATTCTGGGTGAGTTGGCTTTGTCATGTGTCAAGAAGAATATAAAAGTTTTCCTTGTGGGAGCCTATTTGCATCTTCAGATCATCATAATGATCATAATGATTCTTATTTTATTTTTGAGAGTTGTGTCTAATTATTATTGTCCTCTCATTTAGCCATTTTTGGAGCTGACGAAAGCCAAACGTCAAGCCATGCCTCCAAGCCTCTCATAACATACTGTGCCGTCATGTCCCAGTCAGCCATAGAGAATTACTGTATTCAATGATTCTCTATGGCAGAATCATAGGTGCATCGCGTTGAGCACTGCACATGTGCCTGCAGGCCCCAATGCTCCTCTGTGAGGAGCATTGGATTAAACAGTCATTTTGGAGGAGCCAAGGAGGTGATCTCGGGAGCACCGTGGGAGATTCGACTCTGGAGAGCAGCTAAATAACTCAGGGATTGCCTGAACTAAGCAGGCACATTAATACAGATTATGTACTGCCAACGCTAGTGTTCCTTAAAAGTGATTATATACACAGTATTTCGATATTTAATACATCATTTGCATAAAGCCTACATGCAACATTGTTTTTCGATGTCCAACAGTAAAGATTTTTGTTACTTTGCATAATCAGTCACATTTCCACATTTTCTTAGTTGTACATCACTGAATTAAAGTTTTTTTTTTTTTTTTTAACAAACACTTTGAAGGTGCAATATATTTTATGACACAAATGTGCTGTTACGAAGTAGCCTAAAAACCAAAACCAAAAAAACCCCAAGAAAATATAACTTACAGATCATACTGTTCTATTCATTCATGTGCCTTCAGTAAGTTTCATTCTATCCCTAATTATGTGTTATTCATTGCTGCATCAATCTGGTACATGTGATCATAAATGCCTTTCTTTATCAGCCCTTCTGATAAGTGTACACTGTGATCAAGGTAATAAGATTGGGAGGAATTTGCCACTAAATATATTTTTAGGTTTATTAAAATAAATTATGTAGGCAAGTGATTCTCAGCACAGTTCCTGAATGAAACTAATAACCCAGATAGAGTTCATTTCTGCAGAGTGCCTTTAATGCTTCACTGCATAATAAATAAAAAAAATTCACACGCCCTTCCTTATAAAAGAAATCTAGTTAACAAATGGAAGATTAAAAGGATTACTCCTAAAAACTAAAAAGCAATAAACTGGATGGGGTAAGCCTTGCTGGCATGCTCCATCATGCTTTCCACACTCTGCAGGTTTCCAGTGCCAGAGGATGCAAAACAGCCCCAGAGCATCACAAGCCATCAACATGCTTAAAGGGACTCTCCACTGCAGTTTTCCTGGCACTGCAGATTACTGCAGTGCCCCCCTCCCTCCCAACCCAAGTTGCTGAATGGGTTAAAACCCCTTCAGTGACTTCCCTGAATCCAGCGCCAATGTCCCTTGGCGCTGGGTCAGGCTCTGCCCACCGCTGCGCGTGCATGCATTAGACCTCCCCATAGGAAAGCATTATTCAATGCTTCCGATTGGGGATTCCGGGGCCGCTGAAGGTCCTCATGTATAGCGTGAGTACGACCAGCATCGTTTAAAACACTTTTCGGGTTTTAAGAACCCGGAAGTCCGTCTAGTGGCTGTCTGATAGCCAATAGAAGACTTAACCCTGCAAGGTAATTATTGCGGTTTATAAAAACTGCAATAATTACACTTGCAGGGCTAAGGGTGATGGGAGTTGGACCCCAGTCCACCACAATGGGTAGAAGTGGTCTGGGTGCCTGGAGTGTCCCTCTAACTGTAGGCAGTGTGCTTTTCAGCAAATGCTTAATTATTTTTCATCCAGACATACCGCTGATCCATTGGGCTGAAAAGTTCATTTGTTTTATCGCTCCACAAAACATCTGTGGCTTATTTATAAGATTTTGAGCATTTCGGAGCCAACTTTTCTTGTTCTTTTGGGTCAGTAGTGGTTTACATCTTAGAGTTCTGGCATGGAAATCTTCTGTGTTGCCGCCTTACTGTGCTAACAAACTTCTGTGCCTGTTGCCACCAAGTATTGCTGCAGGTCTATACTTGTTACCGGAAGGTTTTTCACAATATGCCTTCTTCGAAATCTGGTTGCAGCCATCAATACCTTTACCTGCTCATCCAGGTAGTCTGACCACTTTTCCTTCAACTTTGAAGTTGCAAAATAGGCTTCCAATTATGGCACTAGGAACATTTAGTGCCTTCAATGGAGGGGGAAACATACAGACTCCAAGCACCAGGTCTACTTCAAAACACTGAAGTGGTCATGTCACTCATAGTAACCCTTGATCATGTAGATCAGATTTGTCAGCCTAGTTGACTGTGAAGATTAAGACACAAACTCAGCCACACAGAACCCATTATAGCATCAAAAGTCAAGTGGTCCCCAACTAAATTTAGGCTGCACTAACACAATGTTTTACAGTAAACATATGAGGCATTTATCTGTGCCACCTTGCCCAATTTATTTATAAATTTCATACCCAGTGAGCTTTCAATTATAGAGTCATTTTCCATTTATGACTAGTCCAAAGCATACAATTGTTGGCACACAACCTTTACCCTACATAACTGGATACAAATTGGACATGGAATTTGTGTGAAAGCCTGAATACTTCCAATGGAGCTTGTGGGGAAAAATGCCACCTAGCTGCAATTCAGGCTGATTTGCCCAATAATCACTTCCTGTGCCAGCATAAAGAAACTTTCCCAGAGATAAGGCATTTGACTAGTCAACTGGAGGATGCCAGCTGTTACGCATGACCCCATGTCCAATATATTCATCACTCTCCCCTGGCTCGTAATCTTTGCCTGTCCCGACTCACTGCCAAACTGACTTCACTTGGCCATGCTCTGTCCTAATGGAGCCCAGCTACTCTGCAAAGACCGTTCAAAAGGACAGATCGGATAATCAGAGGAATGCTAGTAAGTGCTTTATTCACACCACCTTCACTGCAGTGTTTCAGCTCTAAAGATTGTGATGAAAGCTCAGCAGAGCTGGATGTTGTGACAGTGGTGTGAAAGTATACAGAATTTAAATTTGCAACCAATGGACTCTTTCTTTCATTCTCTTGCTGCAATGTGTGTGCTATGCTCAAACTGGACACTTTCATAAAATAAGCAACTGCTTTGGTGAAATTGGTATGAATATATATATATATATATATATATATATATACACACATATATATATCCATCTCTCTTGTGTGTGTTGTGCCAACAAAGCCAATGTTAAATATTTCACATTTCCGGTTGACCCTCGCTACACTGTCTGATAAAGCTTCATCAATGTATTATACCTGACAAATTTTAGTTATGTTTTACATATGGTTCATTGTTAAATGGAGAGAAAAAAAATTAATGAATGCTTCATGTACACTCCTGCTACTGTATCTAGCACATGACATTTCACGTGGCTGAGATTGCACCTATGCTGTATTTAACATTCACAATAAAAATGATTTTTGAAAAAAATTTGTTAGTTTAAACTCGCGCAAGATGTGTGATTAGTTCACGTACATCATTTTCCTTTTCTCCACACAGACATTCTAACCTGAAATATCTTTAGATAAAGAGTGGGGATCATTTAGGAAAGTGTTTCAAAAAGTAGGACAAAGTTGTTAAAGGGACCCCTGCCCACCCCAACATGCAATGGTGTTTCTATTAGGGAATTCATTTCGACTAGACCAACATCCTGCAGGGGGCAGCAAGATCCTTGGTTTTAAAAATTTACACTAGTTTAATTTGTGAATCATAATACAGCTACCCTAAGCAACAGTTTCCCAACAGGTTCAGCAATGCTATTTCTTAAAGGGACAATGCATTTGCACCACTCAATGTGCAGCAAAAGTGAATTTGTGCCAGCATCATATAATTCAGGAGTATGGCAGCTTCAGCACTCCAGATTTTGTGGAGTGCAACTCCCATAATGCTATTACAGCAAAACTGGCAGAGCATCCCCATTGCTGCCCATTCTGCGTTAAGTCAAATTATTGTCATGAAGGGGTTGCTGAAATATCAGAGGGGAAGAAGAAAAAAAAACCCCACACATCTCAGGCTAATGCTAGAGATTGTTTGAGTTATTGGAAAAAGGCAGGTTTGAGTCTGAAACTTTGCTGGAGGGTTCTGAATAAAGTCACCGTTTCTGACATTTGTGTGCTGGATCTTGGTTTATAACCTTCTGGATAACTGCCCTAATCCTATGCTCCAGGTGAAGCATGTCCCTGCCCATTTGGAGAGTATAATTTCTTGGCATGTCTGCAGTAATGAGTCACATGTGTATGTATGTGACATTTCCCATATGGGTTACAAAATCATCAGTAAGTATGACAAAAGTCTGAAAGTTGTACCAATGTAAAGAAGTGGCAAGTCTAGTATATACACAAATGGACTGAGGACAAACTGTATATGGCACCACTAAGGAAATAAAACATGCGTTGTAATGCTCCAGATCTTGGTCTCCAGTTGTTCCAAAAGGAGAATTTTCCTTGCGCAAGAGTAAAAGACTACTCTTACCAACTAAGCTACACCCAGAGTTGGGGGCTTTACAGATTTCCACGACCATACAATAATTAAGACCTTTAGACAACCCAAACAAATATTTCAGCTTCTGTAGTACCGGGGCACAATTATTCTTTCATAAACACCCTTGTAAGTGTTAGAAAGCTAGGTGGGGCAGTATTGACAATTTGCTGCAACTATGCAAGGAAAAAAAAACTATAGCAACAGCCACTGTTGAAACAGTCTTCAATTACATTAAAAGGTTTTTCTAATTGTTAGTACCAAGTAGGTAATGATACACACAGGGCTTGTGTGTTTTTTTTCAAATTTGTTGTAAACAAAATGAACAGACAGCTTTGGTACGTCACAATAGCAGTATCAAGGTAAAAAGGAATACAATATGCATGACAGCTTGTGACGTTCTAACATTAGGCACTTTTTTCTTAAGGTCTTAAGCAGTATGTCTAAATATTTCATTGATTATGTATATCCGCTGGAAAGCATGTATAGACAGGTGGGTGGTAACCAAGGGTGAAGTGGTCCAGCTAAATAATGGAGCCTTCAACTGAATCAATTATGTTGTTTAAAAACACAAATTAAAACAGGGTGAATAAACTGACATTGTGTTCCCAACTGTATGCTAGGTGTTTGTGACTACAGTAGCTCCATTGCATTGGACATTTGCAGTTTGTGTATCAAGATCCATGAAATACAACCTGATGAATCAGATAAGGCTAGTGCTCATGTAGGTCTAAGAACATAGCGTGAAGCTGAAATAGCCTTAGGTCGTGACATACTTAATTGCTGCATAAGATTATAGTAAGCATATAACAAGCATGTGAGTTAAAACTACTGTGTTGGATCCCTCCAGTGGGGGCCTGGATAACCCCCCTGGCCCATAGTTGGTGAGAACGGGGCCTGTGAGGAGTGTCGCGTGGCTGCTAGATTTGGAGTCAGGGCGGCTGCTCTTCTCCCATGTAGGCCGCAGGCTGAAAAGCATTGTGTAGCCCCCAGGGGCTTCAAAACTCCCGATCTTGGGGTCTGCAGTAGCATCCACCGCCACCCGGTCACTGTGCTGTACCGATTGTGCCATAGTTCTCAGGCTTATGGGCCAGCGGCTGCAGGAGCCTCTCCCGCATGCGACCGGTCAGGCCCCAGGGCTTGTGTTTTGATATTGAGTTGATCACAAGAAAACAGGCTATTATTGGGGGTAGATTTAAAAAAAAAAAAAATAAATAAATAAAAACCACACAAAAACTTTCCAGCGAGAGACTGCCGGTGCTGCACACACAGTTTAGTTTTTTTTTTTTAGTGGTCTTAAGTTAGTTGAAACATCACCAATGCATCAAAATACTCTATGCAAGTCACATGCACCACTTTGGTTTGACACATTTATGTATCTGAAAGAAAATACAGATGTGTTCAAGCACACTTGGGCCATGAATGCCATTGCAACTCTTCCATTAATGAAGTTATATCCATTTTTTATTTTACAGTGTAAATAGACCCCCACTTTCTTGCTGCCCCTGTTCAAGTTATCCGCTATCTAGGGCAGTAATAGGAGACATGAATGGACAAATCTAAAGTTAAAATAAGTTTATTGGGGGAAATATCCACAAACCTTTAACATTACTTTTTGTACAACTGCATAGGGCAATCTCATTAATAAAAAGAAGTTACAAATGGTAAAGTCTAGTACACGATTTAAAAATTTCATAACTAGGTGCGATTACAGGCCAACTTTGCTCTAGCAGTACGGTTAATATTGGAAAGATTTGATAGTAAACTCCAATATTTACGTGCTGCTAAAACACTGCTGACAATATCTCAGGAATCCAGAGTGTTTGTATTTTGGTAGGTAGAATGCCTTGTGTTTTGGTGGCAGCACAATATGGCCTGCACCTCTGTGTATCCCACAAACCATTATGTGCTGCTACTGCACTCCAAGGGAATCATGTATTCACTGAAAGAATCTTAAAAGAAAAAAAAGTGTTAGTTAAAATTAGATTATGTACAATCACAAGAATGGCAAATGTTGAACAAATGGATGCTGAAGAGTTTGTTCGTTCAAAGTTTATCATTCTGATTTAGGTTTTTTTGTAAATGAAGCAGATTGAGAGTTTGCTCAACAATGGCTAGGAATCTTGAAATACATAAAATAAAAATAAAAACACTTCTGCACATCTAAAGATTGCTACATTTCAAAAACCAAGAACAGCACATTAAGAGGTCCTTGAACGTCAGTGTGGTGACTTGGGAAGGAAAGACATACTTTACCTGAGGCTCTCCCTCCTGAAAGCCTTCATGGTGCCCTTCAGCTTCTGTCCAATTAAACAGGCGGGAATGCTGTCATCTCTATGGATTTATACTTTGAAGGCAAGCTTTGTAGGTAATTTGTGATTTTATGTATTAGAAGTTAGTAGTCATCACACCTGCTGATTCACAGCCAGATCAGTTTTGGGAACTGACCAGTTAGTGATAGTCTCAGGTCATTCATGTGACAGTGGTTTATGCTCTCCCGAGAAAATTAAAGTCAGCTCTGTCATCTATCAAAAAAAAAAAAAAAAAAGTGACTACTCATCATCCAGATTAGTGGCTAGGGGTAACCGGGAAAGGTAGTTTTTAAACTTGACTGAACTGGTTGTGCTCTGCTGCCATCTTACCAAATGTCTTCTTATGCTCCTGGCACTTTATCTGCCAGGAGAAGACGTTTGCTCTGTCACAACACTGACGACTGGAGAATCTAAGCCACATTTTCCCATTCGCCATCACTACTAGTACCCATTTTGTCTCATCTTTGGTTTGGAATTTCACAGAAATGCCAACACATTCTTTATCATTTCACGAAGATATAAGATGTTAAAAGCTGCATGTTCAATCCATTACACAGGCACAGCGAGTGGAAGGTTGACAAAGGGCAATATAAAATTCTAGCTTTGACATCAGACAACCAAGGGTTAGTCAAAGCACCAGTGCATCGGTTGTAAGCCTTTCAGGTAAGGGTTTGTTACCCTCATATTTTTAAACTCAGCTGTAATCTTCTATATTTTTGCTGGGCATGCATTTCTGTAAACAAAGATAAAATATAAAGTTAGTAAAGTGTACATCTGAAAACATGCATTGAAAAGCTAGGAAGAAAACATGTGTTTTTTGACAGTGGTCTTGTTCTGAAGTGGTTATAGTTCCAAGAGTATCCTAATGTACCATCGTAAGCAATCAAACTTCTTACCAGGCGTCTGCTGGGTGCAGCTTAATACTTGTGACAAGTAGCTAAAGGGAAGTGCTCTGAGCCAAGCCCTGCACGACTTTGCTTATTGGCCAAGACTGTCAGCTACTTAGGAGCTTTGGCTCAGTCGGCAGTAGTAAGAGGAGAGTGGTGCCCGGCAGACCCCAGGTATGCAGTCAAATTGTTCTAAAATGGTTTAACTACTCATACTTACAGGCCATAGTGTGCTGTAGTGGTACATCATTTAGAATGTTCCTTACAGGAATTCCACCTGCACAAAGACACTCCACAAAAACTTTTGGGATTATACTAAGGTTTTAATTGAACATCTTTACATTTTGGTTTTACATTCACACTACCTTCTGTGGTAGAAGTTTAAGATTGACTTTTTTGAAAGCCACTAAAAAAAAAAAAAAAAAGCAGGACTTTTGAAAAATAAAAGTAAACCTATGTTTTCTTCAGATAATTTTCTAGTTCAAACAAGACATGACAGTAAAACCAAAAAATTAAAAAATAAAAATAAAAATAAATAGAAGTTATGTATGCATTCTCTATGCTGACTTTCAGCTGCAAACCGTTTATAGTGATGATTGACAGGATGTCAAGATGGAGGTGTCCGGTTACATAAGAAAGCACAGATTAAGATACACTTTTTCCCCACTCCCTTCGAACAGAGTTTTCCTTTAAAAACCTGTCACTTTACAGCACATTATGTAAAACTTGTGAATTAAGATAAGGTATGTTTCACAATGCATTATGGAAGGAGTCTGGGTTCCATGGATGTACAAAATTTGACCTTTTTGCTAAAAACCACTGCTACAAGCTATATTTTTATTCTTGACACTTTAAACTGAAGCAAGATCTCAAACAGTAAGCAAACTAAATACAGTTAAGACGACAAATTGCAAAAGGCCAGGTACCCACACCCACCTTCAAATTTGCAAAGATTTTGTTTACATAATGCAAGAATTTCTTAATCTACGTAGCATTAGGTAGGGTAGGAACCAACCATTTCTAAAATACATACAGACCCAAACATCTTAGCCCTCATAGTTAAACAGGTTGAAAAGAGACATGTCCATCAAGTTCAGCCTTCCTCACATTTGTTTTTTGCTGTTGATCCAAAAGAACACACAAAAAAAAAAAAAAAAAAAAGTTTAACCCATTAAAGACAACTTCTGGAATAAAATGGATTCATGGGAATATTTCCATCATGTGTCCTTAAGGGGTTAAAGCACTTCCAATTTAGAAAGGGGGGGAGAGGGAGGGAGGGAAACCCCCAAAATTCCCTCTTGACCCCAGAATGGCAGTCAGATTTATCATTTGATCAAGAAGCCATTACCCTATAGTTGAAAAATTATAATTGAATATTCTGTTTTTACAAGTATGCATCTAGTCTGAACATCTGTATGGACTGAAAGCCAATTGAAGTAGAGAATCCCACATCCTTATTCGATTCTTATGGTTAAAAAAATAAAAAAAAAGAAAAAAAAAAAAGAAAAAAGAAAAGTCAATTTGCATTAACGGAAACATTAAAGCACATCTCACTCTGAAGTCAAAGGAGGAATTCTTAGTCTTACATTATACAGTTTACATAAACTTTCTAAAAATGTACAAAACAAAAAAACACAGCTAAAAGTTTCAGGATTGCAACCTAAACATCCAAAATAGGCTGCAGTTGATTACTCCCTAAATAGTTAATATGGAATGTACTAGCCCCCTCACCCCCAACTAGATTTAAATGTAAGAACCGGCAAGTATTCTATTAACATATTTCTTACATCAGAAAACATTTCTAACAAGAGAAAAAAAAAAAAAAAAGAAATTTAAAAAACCGGCTGCATAAAAAAAAAAACCTAGTCAGAACTTAATATTTATACTAAAAATTAAGTGTGCATGCAGGGGTGGTGTCGTGAAAGATCAGAAGGCATGCAGGCCAACAGTACCATTTCAAGTAACTGATTAATTACTTGCATGCCAAAATAAGGCAATTCAACCCCCAGCAGTGAAAAGATTACCAACGGCAACAAACGCAGTGCATCCACATGAGGCTGTATATTTCCACGGAGAACACAGCTCTATTACTTGAGTGACCCATCTTTAAACAGAACTTAAGTTTGCTTCTTTCTCAAGACCATTGTTTAGTGACACTCACAAATATAAAAATCTAACAATTCACTTAATTCTGGAGTCAGAGTGAGCAATTTGTAAAACATGGAACAACTACACCTAAATATATGACTGTTTTATTAACCAGTCTTCACACAAAATATGTATAAAAATGAGTGATTTATTAACTTTTCAATAATGGTTTCAAAGAGTTACATTGCTCCAGTAGGAATTGGGAATGGACACCATTTGCTTCTGTACAGCTTGCCATTTACTAAAATGACACTGTAACAAGCCATATTCTCTGGTTAGAAAAGGGTTAAACAGACTGCTCAAATATCCATCTTAAGAGCGTTTCCTGCTTCACCACAAACTACACATTTTCTAAAGTTAGTTTTCCCTAAGTCACATGTCAAGGAGTCCAAGTACCACCAAAATAAACAAACAATAAAGCACGTGACTGCAGTGTTTATTGATTTCTGCAGGCAGATGAAATGGTTTATATAGGTCATAAGGGCGGGCAAGCAGTAGACTAAATGCAAGAGTAAAGATTTACATGGCATCACAAATGTAAGCATCTTCATTAATTGAAACAGATTCAAAGTTACATTTAAAGAGTATCAGGTCCCAGGTTTATGGTAATGTTTGTATTCCTATATTTGACAAATCAGAAGTGAATAGTTAAAACACACCAAGCACTATATCGTGTGGCAGTGTTTATAATGCAGTGACTCCCTCCAGATACTGTAAAAGCGAGCCTTGCAGTACAAGGCATAGCTCACTGGTCGAGAGCTCTCTGCTGACTCTCAAACAATGAGCCAACCCTACAGTGCAGGATGTAGGACTACTTGCCCTGTGATGATACCAGGACATACAACAGCCAGTAAAGCATGTTGCAGTAGTTATGGTAATTGGAACATTTCTTGAAACTTCCCCACTTTAACCGGAAACTGGGCACCTCATGTGTATGGTTCATTATTTTGCTTTGTCTGAACTGGATTACAATGTAATTTTTCAAACCAAATCTGTCTGAATGGCTTTAGAAAACCATATACCTATACCAAGTACACGTCAGCACGTAAGGTCTACAATACAATGCCCCCTCCCCTATCCTGGGCATGTACCATAGTGTGAGGTGGACAAAACAAAAATAGAAAGAAAAAAAAAAAATGAAAAAAAAACAAAACAAACAAAATCATGAGGGAGCACAATCATTAGCAATAGGTCAGGAAAACCTTTATTTTTCCAGTGTTTCTACAGACCTAAATGAAAGCACTCTGCTTTAACTTACAAATACATCAAATGGAAAAAGACTGCTCATCAATGTGAAGTTAAAATTCATTTAGATTTACTTTCATAGAGAAATTAAAAAGCCAAGTGTTTAAAATTTTACAAAAACAAATGTAAAAGATCAAGTGGCCTGCCTGGTCAAGGTGCATCAGATTTTATTGATTGCTTTTTGGTATTTATTACATTTGTTTTACCTCCAAACTTTTATTCCTACATTAGCTTACATGCTGAGAGATAGGAACAGGAAGAACTCCCAGAGTGATAAACCTATGCCTAAAGAGTCAGCCTACTATATGTGGCTCTGAAGCTAGCAAGTTGATAATTGTCAATTATAGAATATAATATATCTCTAACAGTATTATGCACTGGAATCAGTTTTATCTTTTTAGGTTCATTTAATATATAAAGGATCAAGAGTCACAAATTTTTGTAAAATACGTATGTGGCTGAGAGGACCCTGTGTTTTGTATTCAAGTTGGTAACTAATTAGCACAATGGTTTTGATGAGTATTATCCAAAGCATAAAGTATTCTCTTACCATATACATTGAATGCAAGGTGTTAAGATGCTTGTTTTCCTTCCCAGCACAATTAAGGATTAACTAATCCCTCCATTCCACATCCAAGGACAGGAATATATCCTGCAAATGCATGCCAGCTCACCATTATTAAAAAACCAAGGTCAAAATTTCTCCTGCCTCTCATTCCCCCCCCCCCCGCAATGCAGTTTGACACAGAAAATAAAAATAAAAATTCCAGTCGTCACAGGCCAAATATATTTAAAAAATAAAAATAAAAAATAAATAAAACCTCTCGTTAAGAATACAAGTCAGTCCCAAGTTATATGTAGCGTACCAGCACCCTCATGCCAAAACAAAAGTTCTACTTGCCTCACCTCCTGCACCACCATCAAGGAGGCATGGCCTCCAGAGATTGTACAAGGAGCAGCACTGGGGACCTGAGGAGTGTCTACACATTCATCATGTGATCTAGTTTAGCTCTGCCAGCAGAATCACCTCTAGTGGCTAACTGTTACAAGTTGGATTTAACCCCAAACCATATCCCAAATTGATAGTTTGATACAAAGGATACGGGGTAGACCGCCACTAGAGGCTGTAACCCTGCAAGGTAATTATTGCAGTTTATAAAAACTGCAATAATTACACTTGCAGGGTTAAGGGTGATAGGAGTTGGACACCAAACCACTTAAATGGGCTGAAGTGGTCTGGGTGCCTACACAGTATGCGTTTAAGAAAGGCAATTCAAAATAAAGTTTACAGAATACATATTTTTTTTATTTGTACAACAGTAGACATAAGAGACCTTACCATTTCAGTTTTTACATACATATACACTTAATCGGCCTATTCTGCATTTTAGGGCAATACAGCAGTTTGATAGTTCAAATCACCTCATACACATTTTCAAATTTTATAAATTTTCCCTTTTTTACATGCAGGTTGGAGTTTAGCAGTTCATTATGGTAACAAGTCATGTTTACAAAGTAAAAACTAAATTGTGCTCTGCTATATCTCCCGAATACAAGGGAATACTAAGAAGGTCATTCTGTAAAGTTTTTCTGAAAATACAGATGAATTTATAACTTTCCCATTGCAAGAAGGGGTGAGATGAAATTATATATATTTTTTTTAAATCTGATGCATTTTATTAGCTCACTCCATAAATATATAACATTTGCCAAAGTTGGTACAGTGGGACTCAAGATCTATTTTGAGTTCCAAAATCCCCTCTCCCCCCCCCCACGTACACTTTTCCAAACCTTGTGGTATTTATATTTATTCAAATTGTATTTATGCTTTATAATCTCATATCCCATTATTATAAAGTTATCTTAACCCCTTAAGGGCTGAGCCAGATGTACACATTGTGATCAAAACAAAACCTGAAATTTGACTGTCTGTTCAACCGTAATTCACCTCTTTCATATTAAGTGCACCCACACATTTTATTCAGGGGAAACAGGGCTTTCATTCAAATAATTACCTATGAAACAAATTTAATATGAATAAAAGAAAAGAAAATAAAGTTGTTGTTTTTTAGTTCTACATGACATTTTAGCTGTGGTCATAATTTGGTTTGCTTTTACTGCAATAAAATACATTTGTATTCAGTGATGTCTCACATGTAAAACAGTACCCCTATGTACAGGTTTGATTGTGTTTTGAGAAGTTACAGGGTCAAATATAGCATGTTACATTCAGTTTTCCACATTGAAATTCACCAGACCATATGGTAGCCCAGGAATAAGAATTACCCCATGATGGCATACCATTTGCAACAGACAACCCAAGGTATTGCAAATGGGGTATTGTCCAGTCTTTTTTAGTAGCCACTTCGTCAAACACACTGTCCAAAGTTAGTGTTCATATTGGTTTGTGTGTGAAAAATACAAACAAAAAAAAACCACAAGTTGAACGCCAATTTTGCCCAGTGTTTGTAACTAAGTGGCTTCTAAAAAAAGACTGGACATACCCCATTTGCAATACCTTGAGTTGTCTGTTGCAAATGGTAGGCCATCATGGGTAATTCTCATTCCTGGCCTACCATACGGTCTCAAAGGCACCGTAACGAACCTGGCGAATTTCAATGTGAAAAAACTGAAATGCAAGTCTTATATTCGACTAACTTTTGAAAACACCATAAAACCTGTACATGATGGGTACTGTTACTCGGGAGACTTTGCTGAACACAAATATTAATTTTTCAAAACAGTACAAGACGTATCACAATTATATTGTCAGTGTGAGTGCCATTTGTGTGTGAAAAATAAATTTTACTGTTTTGAAACAATATTTGTGTTAAATCGAAGTCTTTATATCTTACATTAAAATGCCATTGAGGCATAGAGGTAGACCATCCAGGGTCTGTTCAGAGCATGGAGGTCTGTCACCAGATCCATTGAGCTGCATGCTACTTGCCTGTGAGTATAGTGGAGCCCCAGGTATCTATTGACATCTGTGTTCCTGATGTGAGCTGGGACTTAACCCAGTGCTCACTTTGAGCTTGGCAAACAGAGCATTGTTGAGTCTGGAGCCACTAAATATTACCCCAACTGAAGGTTATTACCTTCGCTGGTACTTTTACTGCATGACTGTTTATGCAGTCACAGGGCATTAAAACCCTGCACGGCAGCATACTATCATGTAGTGTATAAGTGGTTATGTTTTTGTTGTCTGGCTTTGTTTGACACATCCGGCATTTAAAAGATGTTAACCTGCTTTAGAAGTTTTAATCTCCAGTTCTGTAAACTGAACTTTAATCATGCACAGGAAGCTCCTGCGGGGTCTAGACTGCTATTCGACCAGGAGATGAATTCTTAGACAAAGCAGAAGTTTAAACAGATCTCTTTACAGGAAGTGTTAAGGAAGGCTGTATCTTGCTAGGGCTATATAAATGAGAGTTATTTAGACTAACACTAGTGTCAGGAATACAAACATTTATTCCTGACAATATAGCTCTCAATGCGATTTAGTTTCCTGGTCCCATCTTTGTTTTTTTTAAAGACAAAGTTAAAAATATAGATTACTCACTTTCTCTTTTGCGTGGTTGGCGCCGCCTCCTTGCAGATCAAACTACTATCTCAACCCACACAATGCTTTCCCATAGGAAAGCACTGGCAGGCTATAGCACATGCACAGCTAAGCCAGTCAGCATCTCCTCAGAAATGCACCCATGTAAAATGTTCAGCATCTCCATGCAGAGTGTGAAGATTCTGAACATCAGTGCTGCAAATTGTGCAACACTGCTAGTGGTCATCTTAGTGACCACCAAAACACGTGTTCCTAGGCAGGAAACACTGCAGTTTCAGAGAAAAGGCAGTGTATATGAAAGTCTGCAGGAGCATACTGTATACACTAGGACAACATTATTTTTTGCAGTTCTGGTGTCATAATGCCCCTTTAAATCCCAAGTGGCAAAGAATTGAGTAGTGGGTGCAGGGGCATAATCTATACACAAAACTGTATCTCTAGGCTATAGTAGGTTTGCTGCCTACAGTTTCCAGCTAAATAGCCAACTTTTAGTTCTCCTTTAACCAGTGAGGATCTAAAGTTTGTTTCCACCTCACAATGAGAGACATACAGCCCATCAAGAAAATATGAACGCAGGTGTAACGGAGCTTCCTGTACCCCAGTTGGGTTCCGCCGACGGATGCTCCAGTGCTTACCAAGGGCTACAAGCACTCCACTAGACACCATAACCACCACAGACCCCCACTAACCGCTGCAGCTTGGTTGGGGTCTCGCAGTCTTCCACCCACTCTTGACCCAAGACCAGGATCCAGTAGGAAGACATCTTAAATCCAGATGACAGGAACAAGCTCTTACAAAAGCTTAGTGATTATACTCTGGGAAGTATAGAGATTATAACAATCCCCAGAGTGTAAGTAGTTCTCCAATACCCCTCACATGAGCCAAGACTTCATGAAGGATAGAACAAGTCTGAGGCTTTATTGGTACAGGTTTGTGCATACACACCCCCTGGACCTGATGGAACACAGGAACACAAACCAATCAGAAAACAACAATGTCCGACACTCCCACATACAGCACACAACTCCTCCCCATCTGCCTGTGAGGCAGTTAAAGACTACTAACTCAATTAACTCTAAAAAAATAAAAAAATAAAAATAAAAAACCCAACATTTTTAGAAAACCCCAAAATACAACACATCCCCTGATCTGGGTGAACAACATATTCAAAAGTCACCCAGATCGGTTCAGGAATTTCCTGGAAGTCTATTTGTCCCACGCCCAAAACCGTTCCATATACTCAACGACAAAAACCATGCTGGACAATTTAAGATGGCTGCCACATGTTTTAATCTGTTCCAGTTAAAAGTCCAAGGGGCAGAAATAGTACTTTTGAACATGGGTTATCACAGGACCCATAGTCCCAGGCAAACAGGCCCCTCCAAAAAAATAAAAAAATAAATAAAAAAAAACCCCAGTGGCGATAGAGGATTTCGTCACAGCAGGTAAAACTAGTCTATGCACAGAATTTATTCAAGCATTGACAGACTTAGATTTATGAAGATCACAATTTACACTTCCTAACTGCAGAAGATTGATATCAGAACTTTGTGACAATCTGCAAGCAAGAACAAACATTAACACTAACCTTCATATTTAAGAGAGAACAAGGGTAAAAAAAAAAAAAAAAATTTTTTAAATTAAACTGCTTTGGAAAGCCAACAGTGCAACTGCACAAAATATAGCTTGGGAGAAAAACCACAAAAATATATAAACATTTTGCCAAAAAATAAAGTCATTGTTTATGGTTGTTACAACAATGTATTTATCTGCATATCGCTAGACTTTTAAGTACCTTCAGACATAGATACAGCAAAAATATTCTGATCTAGGAGTCAAGCTCAAAACCGTTGCAAGGTTATTTACTACAGTGAAAAATAAATCCTGAATGTCAAAGTCAAGCAAAAAAATAAAAACTAGAAGCAAATCTGACCGAGATTTTTTTCCAATTTAGCCATTTTGGCATGATTCAGACACTCTAGAGTGAAATTTGTCAGAATTCAGTCTCTGCATCGGTGTAAAAAAAATAAAAATAAAAATTTGCCTTCAATGTTTACAAGTTGATACGATAGCCCCATACTGGATGCCTATTGTTACACATAGTGCTGCAACAGTATACTATGCAAAATGTCCAGTCATACAAACAGTGGGCAGAAAGATTCTCTAATGCACAGTAAACCATAGAGCTCCCTCTTAAAAATGCATTTAAGAAACTTTCACTTCTAGGCAGATCCTAATAAGAGTAGGATAGTCACCACATGGGAACCCATTTCTCTCCAAATAGGAAATTATGCACTTCATGCTCCAAATATATTGTTTATGGTAGTTGGTGGTGTATATTATAAAGTATCGTTTGAGGTAGCAGTGGGGATGCATTTATTCACCAAAACATCCTGCTTACCAGGATTTTTCATACAAAAAAGTTTATAATTCCAAAAAAACATAAGTATCATATAGAAGATCACATTCTACGGCAGCTAAATTTAAAGTAAGCTAGTCAAGTCATGTGTACAATGTGATAATTGAAAAAAAGTTTTAAAAACCAACAAAGCACAATCTAAAATACAAGCATAAGAATCAGTAGTGTGTCTCAGTAAAGTGCAAATTGCCAGAAACCAAAAGATTTTCAAATTCAAGGCCAAAATAGTCAAACTAAAAACCAAACTGAATTAAAGAATATTTTCTAGTATGGCTATTTTGGTTTCAAAATTCACTGCAATTGTCACTTTAGTGACTAGGCCCCAAGTAGTGTTCAATATTACATTGTAGTGGCTTCAGCTAAGGTGTTATAATTCCAGGTCTCATGCCAAGATAGGCACACAATAAAAACAAAAACAAAAAAACAAAAACACAGCTTTACTATGTCACAGCACCTAACTTAAACAGCTAGCTGAAAATTCTATTAATGGTTGCTTCTTGGTGTACATGTTGCCTACCACACCAGGACTTATAAGTTCAATGCTACTAGACATGCCTTAAAGGTTACTTGCCACTGCAAGCCAGATAGGTCCATGGCACACTTGTTCATTCCAGGTGAGTTATATGGTCAGGGTTATTCAATAATGCAACAAGTCAAAGTGAAAGCACTGCTGACTTTCCAGTTTGGTTATTTAACCCTTAAAAATTTTAACTTCAGTTTGGCTACTCTGGGCTTAAATTTGAAGAGCACTTTGAATTCTCGCTACGATAAGTATTTTTGTACAAACAGAAGGCAGTAATTCCCCCCCCACCGAGTAGCTAAAAAAACTCTGAACATTAAAGTGAATGTTTATTATAAAATTAGGAAGGTGAAGTGGAGAAAAGAAAACCAAACAACCCACAAAAGCAGGCAAAGAGGCAAGAATGGGTAATTATCTTTAATCTTTTAAGTGCATATTTTGGTGTGATGGTCAAGGAACATGAAAACAAACTTGCAAAAGACATCCACAACATGTTCACTCAAAAGTCTGGATGAAGTGACTTGTACAAGTCAGCTTCTGATTTGGCAATTTTGGTGGAAACCAAAAAAAACCAAAAAAAAAAACCAAACCTAATTCTTAGCATGTAACTGGCATTTTGCAAACATTTATTTCATGCTTAGTTTTGGGTCTGTAGTTCACACTATCAGACTGAAATAAACCTCAAAAAAAAAAAAAATATATATATTTTTACCAACTGGATAAGGGCACATTAAAATATCAGCAAGTCAGGATTAAAAAAAAAAAAAAAAAAAGAAAAAGAAAGTTTACATATGTGGCATACTACAGCAAATTTACCAGTTGAAAGTCTACAGACATTAAAGGCAATCATGGCATTTTATAGGTGATGTATGTTGGAAAGTTAAAAAAAAAAATAAAATAAAAAAATATTCACCTACTGCTTGCACAGGGCTGTTTTAGTCAAGAAAAGGAGCAAGTAAATGTACATGCTTTGAACAGCATAAACTCACTTGTTAACCATGTGGCAGAAGTATCTTTGTAAATTCCATAATGCATGTCCCGCACGACTTGCCACTAGGAAAATAAAAATTGGCAAATATTAGTCTTAATATAGTAAATGCATACATATTAGAGATCAGTAACGTATACACTACCAGAGTATGCATGTAGCTTGAGCACTGAACATTAGCTCAGCACTGCAAGAGCCTTTTTAACCACAGCAGTAAGCTCCCCCTCCTCAAACCCAACCTGCTTTAGATATTCAAAGGTCAAATCATGCAATAAAAGTGCCATGTAGAATTGCATGATGTCACTCTTTTTGAAAAGCAGTGTTCTTTAACACATGTCATATGCACATTATGCATATAGAAGAAAATTTAAAGTGTGCTTACCAACTGCTACACTTTGGTTATCATACTGCAGAAATTAACATGAAAAAACAAAAAAACAAAAAACACTATACATATGGTTTTTACACAATGTAGCAAGTCACTGACCAAAGGAATGATTAGGGAGCCATGAAATGCATCCCATGTTCCTATAAAAGGGTTTTCTATACTTTATTAAATTAGAATAGTCATAAAACATGTACTACTTGCAATTGCATAATCTTAGAGAGAAAATATAGGAAAAAATTAAGTGTAATCAATTTAGCTTAATATATTTAACAAGAGAATATATATAAATATATATATATATATATATGAAATATGTCACAATAGAAAGTTGCAGATAAAGGGGGATTTAAGGAAGGAGGAAAAAAAAAAAAAAAAAACCACCAAAAAAAAAACCACCACACCACAGGATATAGATATCACACACACTGCATTAGAGGGGTGCAAGTCCACTTTGTTGCCCTTGAATGGTTTCACAAAGCCAACTTGACAGCAATCAGTATAAGGCTGGGACATTGAGACAGTAACACAGGCCTAACAAAAGGTTAAAAGTTGCAAACCCTCCAAGAAGTTTTTATGTAGCGGACTAGAGGATCACCTTGATAGGAGATTTATGCCAGTCATATATATATATATATATATATATATATATATATATATATATATATATATATATATATATATATATAATATATATATATATTTTTTTTTTATTAAACCTACATACCACTTCTTTTAACAGCTGCTTTTTTTTTTTTACTGGACTAAAAAAAAAAAAATGTATTGCTGAGACAAAACCAAAGTTACCAATCATAATCAGATACCATTTAGAATTTTATTACATAAATATCCACACATCTAATCAATGAATGGAACAGAAAAGTTAGATGTACTCTTTAAATTACTGTTTTGTTATACATGTTATAAATTGTGACAAAACAATTTCCATGTACAAGTGTCAGTTATTACATACATACCTCGACCAAAACTAAGAAGTACTATTGTGGACTAATTCCATCAAAACCAGGTTTTCAATTTGTGTGTACAAATTTAAAAAGAAAATAAAAGTACACACTATACAAACTTGAGAAGGTCCCTCTTCACTGCTTCCTATGTTGCATATTTTAATATAGAGTCTGTACCTATTTACACCTGTCCAGGCAGTTTTAATGCCATGTATTTATTGGCCTTGGGTGTCCAAAAAAAAAAAAAAACACACCTTATTGTAAATTGCTGCATCATATGCAAGCACTAATTGTTTTAAGAATATACATTTAGAGCAGGGTTTTTTGTTTTTTTTTAAATATGGTATGTATAGCTCTTTTACACACACCTCTGTTAATTGCACAAACTTTGCATTTTATTGTAAGCAGTTGCTCCTCATGAGAAGATACTTTTTTTTTGATTGGGGTGGGGGAAATACACTGCCAGTCGCAATGTTATAATATTCTGAGAGATATAGATTTATATAGAAGAACAAGCCAACTATTGTAGAAGTTGAAGGTTTGCCCACCTAGAATATACATTTGTAATAACTCTGAATAAGAGATTGGTATTTATGTTGAGAGAATACTCACACAAACTACTTGTACTTTAGAAAATAAGTCTCATAAGTGGAATAATACAGTAAATAGAACAACTGCTACAAAAATTTCCAATAGGCATTTTGAGGCGTAGTTACAAAGATTTATAGATATACACATAATATGTGTATTACTACTCAAAATTAAAGTTTAAATAGGCTACCAAATTGCATTTGTGTGCAAACAACTACATTTGGACAGGCTGCGGCTGACAGCCAACTTATGATGAACTATATGGGGCCTATGCCATCAGAAATATTAGCAACTTAGCTAGTCGTCACTCCTTGCTTTCTACATTGGTTTCTTTCACTACATCTTCCCTGTCCCTCAGTGTCCCCATACAATACTACCAACAGAAATGGCAAAATAACTATTTAACATCCAAATACGGTGCGTAAGAAAGAGGAAGGAGTCACACACTAAAATATTCCAAGAAATTCATTAAAACTGTTATATTTACTTTGGCAGTTGAGATATGCTAAAATGTGTGGGAGAAGGGTGTCAATTGGAACAGTAAGATAGAAAAAAAAAAAGATCCAAAATGCTACGCTGGCTTAAATTCGGATGTCCCTTTAGTGACTACGAGTCACTAGGCACTGCACAGGTTAAACATCCAAATTAATTCTGCATCTGGTTCACATGTAATAAAATAAAAATAAAGACAAGACAGGCAGTGGGATTTGAAAACCAAAGAGAAAAAAAAAAAAAATCCAGCAAGAAAGGCACTCTAAGTCTCCAAGGTTTATGCACAAAATAAGAATACACAGATTGATTTAAAAAAAAAAACAAAAAAAACAAACAAACCCCACACGCTATATAGCTACATTTTACAATACAAAGATAAAAACGCCAGAGACCATCTTGCATGAAAACTATGTGTAGAATTGTTGGACAGTGGCAACGTGACATTGAACATACTAACTTTAAATTGCTTTTTTTTTTTTTTTTTTTAAGTTAACACTACAAGGAGCTGCCTGATTAAACACACTTCGAATAAAGTAAAAATAATTAGTTCTGTCTAAACATGTATCAGTTACCATGCAAGACACCCAAGGCCAGAAAATACATGGCATTACAACTGCCTGGACAGGTGTAAATAGGTACAGACTCTATATTAAAATATGCATTGCTAGATAAGCTATGGATAAAATGTGAATAAAATAAATAAATAAATAAATAAAAGAGGGTTGAGAAGATCAGCTGTGTTTAACATCCTAAAACAATGGGTATATTAATCCCTTGCAGTGAGTTTCCTTGTCCAGAGACCGAATACATACACACTTTTTAAGCATAGCTTGCCATTAATATGGTGCGTGCAATAAAAAAAAAAATATATATATATATAAATATATATATATATATATTTATATATATACACACACACACACACACACACACACACACACACACACACACATATATACACATACACACGTTATCGATGGATTACTGTAAAAATGAAACTACATCGCAGACAAAACTAAGAGCCCCATACCATTGGTCCATCATACAGACCTAGATCGATATATAGATTTATATATATATATATAATAGGTGCCTACAGAAACCACCTCCGCCCCTTCCAGATAATTTGCAGGATACAGGTCGGGAGTGCCAAATACACATTCCCTACTCACAATAAATATAGCTTGTACCCATAGATAAAGACAAAAACACACACAAATAACCCTGTAGTGTCTGAATTGAGGGAAGGACAAAAAGTAACCCCCTGTCGTTTAAAAACAGACTAATAGTTGAAAGAGCGTCATGGGTGTTGTAGTCCTACAGAGGGGTGGGGGGGTTATAACTCCCTCTGGAAACCCCAGACCTAAAGCATAAAACTCAGATAGTCCCCGAAAGACTGGAATTAAAATACAAGTTTTTGGTGACCGTTTTGATAAATCTATGAATTAAAATCCGAGTAACCTGAATGGGTTAACCCCCCCACACCCCCTCTCAGTAGGGTCAGTGAGGGGGTGTTCGATATTGGGGTCCCCCTGGTAGCCCCATTCCCTGGTTGCTAGCCCCCCAGTGTTGTCTATTCCATCAGATGGCAGTGACAGATCCCCTCCCCCTCCATAACCCCGGGTCCCGCTCAAACCGCCAGATTCAAACCCTGACCCCCCCACACCCCGGCCGGCACCCCGGGGGGCTCAGGGGGGTTCCTGGGATTTTTTAATAATTTTTTGTGATTTTTCGCTCCTTCCCTGACAGGTGTGGAGGCAGCACCCCCCCAGCTGGAGATACGTCATCCCACCCATGTGCACAGTGTGTACACACAGCCCTCCCTGACACTGCCAGCGGTGGACTGCCACTCCCACACACTCACAGCCAGCCAGGACTGCCCAGGACTCCGGGACCCCCCCCGCCGGCGGGGAGAGCAGCGACCTAACTCCGGGCTGAGCGAGCTGCCATGTCCGAGCAGCCCTCCTGCCATCCGCTCACCTCCAGTCACCGCACTGACAGCCGGCTCCGCTCACACAGCTCCCCGAGAAACACACGGCGACCGCCCGCCCTCACTCCGGCCGCCCCGCGCTCCCCTCCGCCTTCCTCTCTCGCCGCTATCCAGTCAGGACTCGAAAATGGCGCCGAAAGCGCAAAACTCCTCATTCAAATTCGCTGAGCCGCGGGGCACGCCGGGAACGGCTCTGGCTGTCAAGAGGACCCGCCTTTAACCGCCCCGCCGAGCCACACCCACTTCGAACGTTACGGAGGTGGGCACGCCCCCTTTCCCTCAGCCTAGCTGTCCGGCTGCCCTTAGCGTCATTCCCCGAGCTGGCGGGCACACAGCGCACACTGTATACATACACTATCTGCATACACTGTATACAGTCTGTCAGCTCCCTCAGGGCACAGCCAGAGACTGGCACAGGGGGCTGCCAATGCTGCTCTGCACGTAGACCATTCCCTCCACCTCCCTGCTGTGGGCATGCTGTCAGAGCCACCATGTTTTCATGGCTACATAATAGGAATATGAACTTATATATACAGGGTTATTCACTGAAGTGAGAATTCAAAGTGAATTTCGAATTTAAGGCCAAAATAGCTGAATTTTTTGAAAATTTTCTAAGTCAGATATGCTTGCATTTTGGCTGCTTTGGCCTTAAACTTGAAATTCACCTTGAATTCTCACTCTAGAGAATGACCTTCGATAATTGTGTACATTGTTTGAAGGTCAAAGGGGAATTTCCATATTTAACCCAAGATTACACAAACTGGAAACACCGCGCTAGTCAACTGTTTTTAGTTTGGTCTAAATTTTTAATTCACTTAGAATGCCTGGTAACGCACACTTTACAACACAACCCTATGTACTCAGCATATCGCTTGTCCCTGCAATATATAAAAACTGCCCTGCATTATGTATATATGATACAACCACATTCCTCAGGGAACCCTTTAATAACACTATAATCACTACACCTTATTGTAGTGGTTATGGTGCTAGGATACTCTTAAAAGACCACTATAGGCACCCAGACCACTTCAGCTCAATGAAGTGGTCTGGGTACCAGGTCCAGCTAGGATTAACCCTTTTTTCTATAAACATAGCAGTTTCAGAGAAACTGCTATGTTTACCTATGGGTTAATCCAGCCTCCAGTGGCTGTCTCATTGACAGCCACTAGAGGCGCTTCCGCGCTTCTCACTGTGATTTTCACAGTGAGAAGACAACAGCGTCCATAGGAAAGCATTGAGAATGCTTTCCTATGGACTGGCTGAATGCGCGCGTGGCTCGTGCTACGCATACACATTCAGCCAAGGAGGAGGAGAGTCCCCCACCCGACGCTGGAAAAAGAGGTAAATATAACCCCTTACAACCCCTAGACCCCGGCGTGAGGGGGGCCCTGAGGGTGGGGTGGGGGCACCCACAGGGCACTAGAGTGCCAGGAAAATGAGTATGTTTTCCTGGAACTATAGTGGTCCTTTAAGTTTATATAGTCCTTATAACTTTGTTCAGGTCCTGCAAAGCTCATCCCTTCTGCTTGGGGATGTGGTAATGAGTGAATTCTACAGTAGCCATAATCCACAAGTTCATTTAAAGAAATCAATACATTAATCACTACTGAAATTTTTTTCATCTGTGATTAGTTAATTGATTTTCTTCTGCGAGCCTATGGATTATACATACAGTACTGATAAACTTAACTTTACAAGTGCAATATCCATATGTACATTTGACTATGTTGCCAGAACTACCAAGATATTCATGCAAATATAACAGCATTTTGACTGTTTATAGAATGTATTTGGAACATTTTTAAGTTAGGAATGCTGGAACATCTAGAGGCACAGTACTGGTGATAATTGAAATTCTCAACATTAAGCATTTTGCACCAAAATTGGTCCAGTGTGGCCTTGATAAATATGGTTATATTTTGGACAAATCTACAATTTTATATACACAAATAAAATGTGTATACAAAGAAACCAATGAATCATGGTACTTTTCTGACCAATATTTGCACTTTAGCTTTAAATTTGTAACAGTTCTCCTGTCTTCGAATAGAACCACTTGTGACACAAAGCAAAATATATATTTACTAAGGAGTTTCATTATGAATTTCTGCTTAAGTTAGCAACTATATATTTCATTGTGACACACACTTTCTCTTTCTCTCATCTGATGGATTTAAAGGGACACTATAGTCACCAGAACAATGACAGCTTAAAGGGACACTATAGTCACCTGAACAACTTTAGCTTAATGAAGCAGTTTTGATGTATAGAACATGCCCCTGCAGCCTCACTGCTCAATCCTCTGCCATTTAGGAGTTAAATCCCTTTGTTTATGAACCCTAGTCACACCTCCCTGCATGTGACTTGCACAGCCTTCCATAAACACTTCCTGTAAAGAGAGCCCTATTTAGGCTTTCTTTATTGCAAGTTCTGTTTAATTAAGATTTTCTTATCCCCTGCTATGTTAATAGCTTGCTAGACCCTGCAAGAGCCTCCTGTATGTGGTTAAAGTTCAATTTAGAGATTGAGATACAATTATTTAAGGTAAATTACATCTGTTTGAAAGTGAAACCAGTTTTTTTTTCATGCAGGCTCTGTCAATCATAGCCAGGGGAGGTGTGGCTAGGGCTGCATAAACAGAAACAAAGTGATTTAACTCCTAAATGACAGTGAATTGAGCAGTGAAATTGCAGGGGAATGATCTATACACTAAAACTGCTTTATTTAGCTAAAGTAATTTAGGTAACTATAGTGTTCCTTTAATGTAGTTGGTCTGGTGAGTATAATAGTTCCCTTCAGGCTTTTTTCATGCAAACACTGCCTTTTCAGAAAAAAGGCAGTGTTTACATTGCCTCTAGGGACACCTCCAAGTGGCCACTCCTTAGATGGCCACTGGAGGTGCTTCCTGGGTCAGTGCTGACGAAAAAGCAGCCCTGACGATCAGCGTCCCCACGCTCTGCATGGAGACGCTGAACTTTCCTCATAGAGATGCATTGATTAAATGCATCTCTATGAGGAGATCCTGATTGGCCAAAACATAATTTAGCCCCGCCCAGTGCCGATTTTAGCAAATCCAATGCTTTGATTGACTCCACTTGCATAGCGCTAATCATCAGTCTTGATTATATCAGCCAATCCAATGCTTTTCCATAGGAAAGCATTTGTACACTATTGTGCATGTGCTGCAAAACCCAATGCTGTGCCAATCAGCATCACCTTATAGAGATACATAGAATCAGTGTAACTCTATGGGGAACATTCAGTGTCTCCATCAAGAGCATTGAGACACTGAACATGGAGTGCGGCACTGAGATAGGAAGCACATCTAGTGGCCATCTGGGTGACTGCTAATAGAGGTGTTGCTGGGCAACAATATAAACACTGCCTTTTATCACTGCCTTTCGGTTGGACAGTCCATACTTTGGGGTACAGTGTTGATTTAGTACACTGTTGTCTAAATCCCAAATGTGTAAAGAAATGGTTTAATGAAACATAGAGCTAATGGCAAACACCAAGCGCTGTTACTTATATTACCTCCCAAAGTATTAATATGTTCTTTCAGTTTACTCCTAGCATGCAGTTAGCCTGATTTTACACAGAGATTAGTCTGAGCACAGAGTCAGTAAATCCTTTATAGAATACAGTGACTGGGCCTTGGTGTTAGTTTTAATTGTCCACAGTAAATTCACCCCCTATCTCCAATAACAAATCTTATGTTTTAAATGGCTTTAAAAAACGATTTATCAAGAATTGATCTGCAGTCTATATTCCTGGAAAATATCTTAAAGCTGCAATTCCAACTTTGAATATGTTTGGTTTAAGCTTTTGTTAAAACCTCGTTGGAAAAAATCCAGAATTTTTGGAACTGTAAGCTTTCGAGGATTTTTTTTTTGGCAAGTCAAGTTCAAGCAATTTTCCAGATTGTGTCAAATATTTCTGATGTTAAAGCTGTTTAATGTTTCTTCCACCATACTTTGCACAGTACCATTTGGCAACAGGAAAATTACTAAAAAAAAAAATGTAAAGAACTACCCAAAAAGAACTGCATTTCTCACTCTCTATGTTGATAACGTAAAACATTTTGAGTTTTAAGACAAAAATAAATTGTACAAATATGTAAAATATTTTTTTTTACCTAAGATTACGTATTATTTCTTATTTTTCCTTTACTCATTTCTTCCAGAAGTTCTAGATCACTGGGACTATAGTTTTAATACAATTTATATTCTTGAAGGACAATTCAGGGAAAAATAGAAGGTACTCATTGCCTGCAAAAGAAAACTTGCACCTTAGACATACTCCCAAGTCTCCTCAGGTCTCATTTTCCATAAGCTAGTGTATATATAACATGAATTCTTATTTAAGTGAATGAGATTTATGTGTAGTTTATGTGTAGAATTGTAGAAAAGTGACTATTTACAAAAGTGAACATCTGCACGCTAGGGGTAGGCATACTATTCGCAAGATGGATCCCATACATAGAACACACCACCATGAGATGCAAACAAGGCAGATATGTCTTCATAAAAGGCACCATCCTAGACCAGACCTACACCTTCACCAAAATCTATGCCCCGAACTCAAAACAACACCGCTTTCTCTGCACTGTGCTCAACACACTGATGAAATTTGCAGAAAGCACCCCGATCGTTGGGGGAGACCTGAACCTGGCACTGCACCCCGAGCAAAACACGACAGCCAGACAAGGAAACACACCCAATAACAGAAATGCCAACACGCTATGCCTCCTCCACTATCACCAACTAGCAGATTGCTGGCGAGCGCTACACCCATCGGCTTGCGACTACACCTTCTACTCCACGACACACTCCTCATACACTAGACTGGACTACTTCTTCATGTCCCACCGCAGCCTCACCCTGCTGAAGGACTCAGAAATCCTGCCTATAACCTGATCAGACCACTGTCCGATCCGTATATGAATAAAGTCACCCCTATTCAGTCCCAGGCAAACTTCCTGGAGACTGAGTGAGTCGATCCTCTCGGACGCACTGCTAGTGGACAAGACCAGACGGTCTATCCAGGAATACTTCATAGACAATGAGCTAGGGGACACGTCACCCTTGATGTGCTGGGAGGCCCGCAAGGCGGTGATCCAGGGGCAACTTATCACAATATGCTCCACCCGTAAGAGGGAAGCAATACAGGCAACAATGGACCTCAGCAGGGAGATCGCAACCCTGGAAACCAAACACAAACGCACCTTGGAAGCGACGACTTACAGAGACCTGGTCATCAAACGGAATCAACTCACTACACTCCTGAACTGCTCGATACACCGCTCATACCAACAATTCAAGCATGTAATACACGAACACAGGAACAAATGCGGGAGACTACTGGTGAACCTCCTAAAACAACGCAAGTCCCAACTATATATCCCGAAAATCAAGGGCTCACAACAGCAACACCTGCACCTCCCAGACCAAATCTCGTCCGCGTTCCTTACTTACTACCAGGGACTGTACCATCTGCACCAGGACGCACCAGGGGAGCCGCGCCCCAACAGACTCGAAGAGATTCAGAGATATCTAGAGTCCACGAACATGACCGGCCTGGAAGATATGGACCGGGAAGGCCTGGAGGCGCCCAATTCTACCGAGGAACTGATGCACGCCATCAACAGAGCAAGGACAGGAAGGCCCGGATGGCTTCCCCCTCTCGTACTACAAGATCTTCCCCCAAGTCCTCCTCCCGAAACTGCAAGCAGCCCTCAATTCAATCCTGGAAGCTCAGTTCACATCGGCAAATAATACCCTTCTCCCCAAGGAAGGAAAGGACCCAACACAATGCTCAAGCTACCGCCCAATCTCTGTGCTTAACACAGATCTCAAACTCCTGGCCAGTGTCATGGCGGCGCGACTAGCACCACTGCTACCCAAGATAGTGCACCCGGACCAAACGGAATTCATCCCAGGAAGACAGGTACGGGATAACACCATCAGGGCCCTGAACATCATAGCCCAAGCCAGATCAATAAAGACCCCGGTCCTTCTCCTGTCCACAGACGTTCAACAGGGTGGACTGGGATATGATGTTTGGAGCACTTCGCCTGGACCAGAATACCTCGCACTGACAGACCCGTTCCAGATTCACAATGGAACCAGACAGGGCTGCCCATTATCCCCCCTGCTCTTCACACTGACCCTGGAGGCCTTCCTTAACAAAATCAGACTTAACGACATACAGGGGATAAAAATCGAAAAGACCCACCACAAAACATTGGCCTGCGCAGATAGCCTCCTATTTATAGTCACAGCCCCTGACCCCTCCCTGCGGGCTATCCAATCAGAATTCGAGTCCTACGGCCGTGTATCAAACCTCCAAATCAACTACTCAAAATCGGAAATACTGGGCCTTACCATAGACACAATGCTCAGACAGACGCTACAGCACCAACACCCATACCGCTGGTGTGACCAACGCATGAGATACCTGGGGGTAGGCTAACACCGAACCCGGCAGACCTTTACACCCACAACTACCTCCCTACATTGAAAAAGGCAATAGAAGAACTACGCATGTGGAGTTCATAATACATCTCCTGGCTGGGCAGGGTGAATGCGGTCAAAATGACACTGCTGTCTAAATTCCTCTTCATATTCCAGACGGTACCGATCCTGGCCCCAGACTCATTCTTCTCCACCCTAAAGACGGAGGTCCGAAAATTTGTATTGCAAGGCAGGTCCTCACGCATAGCACACTCCCAACTCACGCTGCCTAAACTCCGGGAAAGCCTAGCGCTCCCGGACTTTGAGAAGTACTACCACGCGGCACACCTTACCAGGGTCATAAGCTGGACAGTAGAAGGCAGCACGAAACTATGGACCCAGCTGGAATCAGATATCACCAACTGTGATTTAAGGACCCTGCCGTGGATCACCAAAGCCGCATACAGACACAAACATGAGCTCACCCCACACGGAACACCATACAGATCAAGAATCACGGATACCAAAAGCGAACGGGACAGAACAACATGCCAACTCAATTGCACACCAACGGAGCCCGGGCATTGAGCCAGGGGACCACACACCGCCAAACGACACCAAACACACCACCCCTATCATGACATGTACAATCAAGACCCACAGACACCCACGACACCACACACAACCCAACCATTACCCAAAAGCATGACCCAGATAGAGTAACCCACACAACCACAATAAACCGGGAGGGAACAAGGATCAATGAGACATGGAGTGGCGCTCCGAGTTAACCAATACACGGTAGTGAATCCCGCTGAAGAATTACCCTACACGATAGCAGCACCCAAGACGACCCAACTACACGCACTGGCCTCCCCTAAGCGAGATTTCAATACAATAGACCACTCGCACGCTACACACCAAACCATACACAGTCGCATAAGATTTGTTCCCTTTAATGTGCAAAAATAGACCACCACCGAAAACTACATGGGTATTGCACGGGTAATACACACAACTCCAAGAAGAGGCGAAGTAAGGCCCTACAAGGCCTCTGCGTAGGCCACATGCTAATGCCCTTGCAAAACTGATTGAATGTGTTATATGAGCACCTAAACCACGCCTACTACATAAAAACCATTTAACACAAAAGGCAGGAGCCCTTACAACCATACCCATAAGTCTAACCTCAATAAATGTGCACTACAGACCCTACAGTTGCAAAATACAGGCACCCAAATATGAACCTACCTGTTATGTTACGCATGCTTTGACAAATTCGCCTCTGCGCAGGCGACAAAATGCATACATCTATATGTACCAATGTTTACACCCCTGCGTGGGCGACCACTTGCTCTACCACAAACAAGTTTGATATTTGTGTTTATACCGTGAAAAACAAAACAAAAGTGTTCAAAACAAAAGTGAACATCTTAAGGCTTCTTCATCATTTAAAAATAATGAGGACCAGAAAACGATTAAGGTTCCACAGGGAACTGTGGAGGTTCCCAGTTTGGGCCCCCATCTTAGCCCTTCACATAGTGATGGTGAATGGTGCCAAGAATATTCATGATTCCGGGTACCCCCAATTAAACCCTGAGCCCTAGTGAGCCACTTACGGTGTCCTTTTGGTTAATCTTGTTTTGATGAGAATTAAAACAAATTGGAACTGCTCATTTAAATCAATGAGATCAACTGTCAACATAACATCAGGAGTGGACTGGCCTTCAAGTGAACCTGTCAAGACAGATTCACTTTAAAATAAATTCGCCACAAATGCACTGAACACATTACATATCACAGAGATACATGATGTATTCAATGCGAAATTGTGAGATAAACTCACCTCCGATCCAGCGCCACCACGTACTCAACTTTGTGGGTGTTACTTTTCTGTAACATCCACCTTTGGTTCACTTTAGCCCCTCCTGAAGTCTTCTTTGATTGTCCCTCAAGACATTTTCTCAAGCAGGGAAAAGCTCCTCTGTGACACCGACACATTAGCTTTGATATCAGCGATTACATTCCTATACTCCCTAGTCAGCGTTAGCAGCGTAAGCTAGGGAGTTACCATAGCAATCAAAGTGCATGCTCTGAGGGTGTTATGTGTGAACCTACTGTTGGAAGTCTCTTTTTTCTTTCTCTAATCAGCCCATTCTTCAGCATAGAGTCTATACTGAAAAATGGACTCCTAGGTGGGAGAAGACCTCTTTTCAAATAGACTTTTCTTATGATCTATACATTTGCTAGCAAATCTGCTAACACAACATATACATAAAATGTTATGCTCTCTCAAAAGTACATAAGTTGTAGGTACCATGACAGGTGCCATTTTGTACAGTAAGACAAACACATTTGATATCCACTGCTTAATAATATCAAGGCACACTAGAACTCAAAATAAGATCTAAAGCTCATAGCTGGAGCATATTAAAGAAAAAAAGGAAATACTACTTTATATCTAACGACTCCCTGAGGTTTGGAATCACAAATATTAACATGCCATAGAAAGGGGCATTCTCCCCAATTGCCAACCCATATGTGCCTAACAGTTAACGGTGGTAACGTTAGCAACAACAAAAATAAAAAGTATGATTCCAGTTAATAATGGAGGTGGGCCCTGTGTCTGGCTGAAATGCTGGTAGACATGGCATTAATTGTCACCCAGCGATTTTACATTTTGGGCCACTGAGTAAAATGATAAACCAGAAGCCGGAGGGCAGGCATGTTCAGCCAGAGAAGCATCTCTGAGATTTCCTGAGTATTTTGACTTTCATTCTTGTAGGGCCTTTCTGCAGTGTCTGTCCTTTTTTAGCCAGTATTGCTATGAGAGTATGAAATTGGAAACATGTTTCTGATAAAAGTGCCAACATGCAATGATAATGAAAAAAACACACATACATGGAGTGATAAAGTGATCATTTAAAATCTAGAGCAGCTGCAATACACATATATATTCCTGGTCACTTCATCATTCTATGTTAAGATTTGATTTCTTATTCACTTATTGGCGCAATTATAGTTTATCTGAAAATCTATCTCCCACAACCATCTGAGCATGTACGAGCAGAGTTTATTCTGTGAATAAAAAATATACAAATAGCAAGATTGTCCAACAAAACACTATTTAAAATATTTTGTATTTAAAATGGTAAAAAGATTTAAAAAGTTCACGATATATAATAAATCTTCTATATGTAGGCAGATTAGGTGGCATCTCTTCTCTACCTATAACTTGTAATAAATGGAAATATTACAATGAATCCCAGTAATATTCTACCACTGTTCGTGTATTGGTCCTTACTTGGCTGAAAAACACGTTTTTCAACAAGAGCTTTAGTCAGTACATATGCTTTATACTGAGGAAAAATAGTTGATGTAACTACTTCATTGATATGGCGATCAGTATGTCCAGGGTCCTGAACAGCTTCTAGAGGGGAGAGAAGTTATAGTGGTGTCTTGGCACATACTATATGCAGGGGTGTTGCTAGGTTCCAAAAGTACCTGAAGACTGACAATAACAATCTCCTCTTTGACTGGTGTCATGGATATCTACGACCAAAAATGCGTACATTAAGTAAAACAAACAAAACTAAACAGAAAAAAACCTTAGAGTGGCCACAATGAACGCTAAACAAAATAGTACAAGACTAGCTGAGATCAGGATAACAGAAAGCCGAATAAACAAGAGAATAGCCAAAGGCCAAGGACAATAACATGTAGAATAGTCCAGGTTAAGCCAAGGTCATATAAGCCAGAGATAATCAAAGAAGAAACATGCTCTTGGATTAACCAAAGAATTGGAAACCATGAGAGGGCACAATCCAAATTAAACTTTGAGTTTAAATAGCCATAGGAGGGCAAGGATTCGTCAAAATTGACCTTCTGATGCCATGACTTTTGTGTCACTAGCGTCCTGCTCAGGGGTGGGTTTCTTTAAATGGGGCACAATGTAGCGGCCAGCGGTCTTCCAAACGCCATACTGGTCGGGAGGTGTGAAGAGAGCAGACAGGAAAGAAATCAGCTGCTAGGCTTCTCCTAGCGTAACCTCGCCGATCGGACACAGTGATGTGGCCGTGCCTAACCGGCACCGCAAAACCTGGACATTTGGTTTTCCAAATAGAAGACTCTATCATTTTATATCTCAGGCTTGATCTTGAATCTGGCCTGTCACTTGTGGGGTTGCATATCTATGGCACCAGGAGGGATCTTTTTAGAGACCCTACAATAGTGAGAGAGAAGGGGTAGACCTCATCTAGCACCATCTGAGGAAGGAGGGATAAACTATTCACCTGAAATTCTCCCTCCTCAGCATTGGGGCCTTCCGGCTTCAATTCGTGGTAAATGAGGCTTTCAGGAGCATTGTATATTCGTGTGGTTGTAAAGATAATCCCACTATACTGTAAGATCCTACACAAATCATCTTTCACAAGTGCAACAAGATTTTATAGGCAGATACATTTAAAGGATCACTCTCAGCACCCTACAGCCTTTTATATTAAAGAAATGTCTCATTCCAGAGATATGCATACATTTTTTTGTGTGCAGTGTGCAGTGCCACCTTCCTAATCAGCCAGCTGGGATAATCTTTTCCTGATTAGCAATATCAGTTTTGTGCAACTTTTGCATCTGGTGTAAGCAAACAAAGCAGGCTAAAATAGCCATCCTGTGACTAGTCTTTTTTTTTCAGAAAAAGAGCCTTAAAAGTCTGCACCAACAGCACCTGAGATGTGTCACTTCCAACATCTTACACACCATCTGTGTTAAAAAAAATGATTGTGCACAATTCTGGAATAGTTTGCCAGAAGATATCAAACCTCCCACAAGTCTATATTTACTGAAAATAAATCCTTTTTAAATGATCCTCCCTTCTCCAATCTAAGTAAATCAATAAAAACTGCTAATAGGCATCTAACTCGATATGCTAAATACTTAACCTTGTCATAAGAATGCTGTGCTAACCGTCCCAGGTCATACTTAAAAGACTTATTCACCAGTGTGAATCAGTATTGGGAATTCACAGTGAATTTCCTATTTTGGACAAACAGCCGAACTGAAAACATAGTTGACTAGAACATTTTTCCACTTCGGACAAAAAAAAAAAAAATACTGTCATGGTTATTTAGAAAACTATAAAGCAGGGTTGCCCTAAAGGTAGATCCCCACATGTTGTAAAACTACAACTCACATGATGCTTTGCATGCCTTTGCATGAATTTGACAAGGCATCATGGGAGTTGTAGTTTTAAAACAACTGGGGATCTACCTTTTGGGCACACCTGCAATAAAGTTTTACAAATTCTAATCCAGATAGAAATATTAAGGCAAAAATTGTTGTTTTGGGAGTGAAGTTCCATCTTTACTATAGTCAAGTGATTTTGAAATTTTAGCATTCATGTTGGAAATATTTTCTGTATAATTTGGAGTTTAGTGAATAATCCTGTTTAAAATTGCAACAATTCATGTTTTAATTAATAATCATGTGTAAAAAAAATATTAAAGGACCACTATTGGCACCCAGACCACTTCAGCTCTATGAAGTGGTCTGGGTGCCAGGTCCCCCTAGTTTTAATCCTGCAGCTGAAAACATAGCAGATTCAGAGAAACTTCTATGTTTACACTGCAGGGTTAATCCAGCCTCTAGTGGCTGTCTCACTGACAGCCACTAGAGGCGCTTCCGCGATTTACACAGAGTAAATCACACCTATTTGACATTGGACGTCCTCACAGAGTCCAGCGTCAAAAAGATCCCCATAGGAAAGCATTGAGTAATGCTTTCCTATGGGCGGGTTTTTTGCTGCGCATGAGCATTCGGCTCCACTGGGGAGCTGACGTCGATGGAGGAGGAGTGGTCACCAGTGCAGAGGGAGCCCGGCGCTGGATTAAAGGGACACTATAGTCACCAGAACAACTACAGCTTAATGTAGATGTTCTGGTGAGTATAATCATTGCCTTCAGACATTTTAATGCAAACACTGCCATTTCAGATAAAAGGCAGTGTTTACATTGCCCCCTAGGGACATCTCCAAAAGGCCACTACTCAGATGGCCACTGGAGGTGCTTCCTGGGGCAGTGCTGCACAGTAAGCAGCACTGCCGTTCAGCGTCTCCACGCTCTGCATGGGGACGCTGAATTTCCCTCATAGAGATGCATTGATTCAATTCATCTCTATGATGAGATGCTGATTGGCTAAAATGTCGCTTGGCCCTGCCCCATCCTGCCCCATCCCGCCCCCTTGCCGATTTCAGCCAGTCCAATGCTCTCCCTATGGGAAAGTATTGGATTGGCTAAAAATCATCAGTTCTGAGGATGTCACCAAGGAGGTGGATCTGGGGTGGGGCCAGCGTTGGCGGACCCGTGCAGCACTGGAAGTAAGGTGAGTTTTCATCTTTTCTAAGGGATATAGGGGGTGGGGGGGGCAAAGCCACCTAAATTGTGGGTTTAACACTATAGGATCAGGAATACATGTTTGTTTTCCTGACTCTATAGTGTTCCTTTAAGGTAAGCAAATAAATGGTTAATTAACCATTTATTCGCTGCGGAACGGGGCCCTAATCACCTAAACGGTAACTAGGGCTCTATAGCGTTAGAAATACATATTTGTATTCCTAATGCTATAGTGTTCCTTTAATGATTATATTTCTAAATAGTAAGGATTTCTTAAAAAATTATCCACTGCAAAAGTTGCCTGACAGCAAATCAGCAGGTAACAAGCTGCTTTAAATGTCTCTATTAGAAAACATACTATCTAACTTTGAATTCTAAATGTATCAATACTGCAATTTAATACATGGCTTACTGTCCCTTTCAATTAGCAAACAGGAAATCCACTTCTTAATTAATGCTAATTGTCTCTATGAACATTATGTTCCTTGTTGACAACAATAAACATTAAATGGAAACAAAATTCACCAATGAGATCCTTCCACTGGATACACACTGTTCTACCAACGTGTCTAGCTTCTGCCTCTCCAAAATACATTTTGTCACTCACTTCTATGTTTGTACATTCCCTTTCAAATCCAAAGCTATAGTACATGATTGCTGCTGTTGTGACTGTAAAAAGATAAAATAAATCATAAAATGGTATTAATTGCAGACTGTTTGCTAGAAAGGCATTGTCTCTCACTAATAATACTGTTTATTACATGGCAATTAAACTATTAAAGTGACACTGCAGGTTTGTGTATTATTCAAAAGAAATTTCTTTTTCCAGTGAATGAGATGCTTGTTGTGATTAAGATGCAAATACACAAGCTGCCCTTTAACCCCTTAAGGACAGACACAATTGTACAACTTCTGACCAAAACAAAACCTAGAATTTAAACTACTTGTCTGTTCAACCATAATTTACTTATTTCATATTAAGTGCACCCACACTTATTATATATATAATTTATTTCACATCAAATATTTATAAACGGAGCATAAATTAATATGAATTAACCCCTTAAGGATGGTGGGTGTTCTAAGCCGTCCTATGTACTTACCCGGTCGCCGGCGATCCCACGCCAGCGATCGCGGTGTGGGGACTCACCTGGCAGCCCAGGGAGTCCCCCTCTTTCCTTTCCGGCCCCCATGGGCCATGTGATCGCGAGGAGCATAGCCGTCCATTGCATTGTCAGCAGGGGGAGTGCCTATAATGACAGGTACTCCCCCTGCTGCCTGTAAATAGTAAAATAAATGTTAAAGTTACAGTTTAAAATAAAATATATAATTAGATCATATATATATTTATTATATATATGATCTAAGTATATATATGTATATATATATACACATATACATACATTCACATACACTGTCTAAGTGTATTTTAATAATATATATATATATAGTTATATATATAATATCAAAATACACATAGAATGATATTGATTAAATATATATATATAATTATGATTATATATATATTTATATATAATATAAAATAAATATGTAAATACGTTAAAAAATAAAATAAGTAATAAAAAATAAATTTATAAGAAATATACACATGTGTAAATTCGTTCTAACTGTATTTTAACATTAATATATATATATATATATATATATATTGATATCAAAATACATCTAGAACGAAATAATATATATATCTATATACATAAGTATATATGTATATATCACTATATATATATACCTATATATAAATAAAAATAATTTTAAAAAACTATATACATATATATATATATATACACAGACACACACACACACACACGTGTGTGTATATATATAATAATTATATGTTTATATTTATGTAATAATTTTACATAATTAGGTCCTTTTATTAATTACAATTTGCGTGACCTGCCTGACAACCCAGGCCGAAAGTCCAGGGACTTTAATTGGCTAGAACTATATTTAACCCTGTAACTTTCCAAGACACCATAAATCCTGTTCATGGGGTATACTGTTTTACTCGGAAGACTTCGCTGAACACAAATATTAGTGTTTCAAAACAGTAAATTGTATTATAACGATGATATCGTCAGTGAAAGTGAAGTTTTTTGCATTTTTCACACACAAATGGCACTTACACGGACAATATAATTGTTGTGATACGTTTTACTGTTTTGAAACACTAATATTTGTGTTCAGTGAAGTCTCCCAAGTATAACAGCACCCTCATGTACAAGTTTTATGGTGTTTTCAAAAGTTACAGAGTCAAATAAAAGGCTGGCGTTTCAGTTTTTTCACATTGAAATTTGCCAGGTTGCTTATGTTGCCTTTGAGACCGTATGGTAGCCCAGGAATGAAAATGACCCCCATGATGGCATACCATTTGCAATAGTAGACAACCCAAGGTATTGCAAATGGGGTATGTCCAGTCTTTTTTAGTAGCCACAAACACTGGCCAAAATATTAACAAACAAATATTAACACTAAATTTGGCCAGTGTTTGTGACCAAAGAGGATACTAAATTTGCAATACCTTGGGTTGTCTACTTTTGCAAATGGTATGCTATCATGGGGGTAATTCTCATTCCTGGGCTACCATATGGTCTCAAACGTAATGTAACCCATCTGGCGAATTTCAATGGGAAAAAAATGAAAAATGTAACATGCTATATTTGACCCTGTAACTTCCCAAAACACCATAAAACCTGTACACCGGGGGTACTGTTTTACACGTGAGACATCGCTAAATACAAATATGTGTATGTTATTACAGTAAAAGCAAACATTATTATGACATTCACAGTTAAAATGTCACGTAGAACTAAAATAAATGTTAAAATTCTTATTTTCTCCCATTTTTTTATATTTTATTCATATTAAATTATGTTTCATACCTAAATATTTGATGTTAAATGAAAGCCCTGTTTCTCCTTAATTCAATTTTATATAATAAGTGTGGGTGCACATAATATAAAAGAGGCAAATTATGCCTGAAGAGACATATAGCGCAAATTCAAGTTTTTGTTTACGTTTTGTTTTGATCACAACATGTACATTTGGGTCAGTCCTTAAGGGGTTAAATCTAAAAAAGTGTGCGAAATTAAGAAACGCTTTTTTCCAAGTTCGCCATGGGATTTTAACTGTGAATGCCATATTACTGTTATTTTGTACTGCAATAAAATACACATATTTGTGTACAGTGATGTACTTGATGGGGCTATGTTGCCTTTGAGACCATATGGCAGTATAGGAATGAAAATTAACCCCATCACGGCATACCATTTGCAAAACTAGGCAACCCTGGGTATTTAAAACAGGGTATGTCCAGTCTTTTTTAGAAGCCACCCTGGCCCGTGTTAGTGCCTGTTCCCCAAATGTACAGGTTTTGTGGGGTTTTGGAAAGTTACATGGTCAAATAAATTGATCCAAATTAAATTCTCTGGACTTTCTACCTGGGTTGTCAGGCAGGTCCCCCAATATATGATTCACATAATTATGTAAAAATCACATTATAAAAATCACATATTTATGTAACATTATTACATGTATATATATACATATATAATCTTCCATGAAAGAGTGCACTCACTGGACTGTATTAGTTTCAATCACTGCTGCTTTATTTGTGCAGTATATACAAAAATATAAGTCAACATTTCAGTCTTGACCGGATTTTCTCAATTAGAATTTCATTCTCAGTGTTTTTTGATATTAAAATATATTATTTAATTCTAAGTGTATATTTATGTTTTATTTTATTGATTTAATGTTGGTAGACCTGCCTGACAACCCAGGCAGTTCCCCTGCAGCCAATCTGTCAATCATGCCAATCCGAGTGGTGTGATTCAGGTATCATCGCAATCACATGACTCGGCTGGGTGGATGTGGCTCCGATTGAACCCGCCGAGGAGGGTGAGTATTTGTGCTGTGGGGAGGGCCAGATCGTTAGGGCGTGCTATGCCGTCCTAACAGCGTTAAAGCCCTCCTTTTGTGGGATGGCAAAGTATGCACTAACATCAGGGAAGAGTTAAGCTAATAAATATAACGAATGACCAAACAGAGACTAGTCTTGGTCTACTGCTCTTGTGAAATAAAGAAAACAACAAAATAGGATGCAGGACAGACATTCATAAAGTATGTTTCTATCTAGTACAGATAGCAAGACTTCCAGTTTCATAATGTCACAAACCCTTTCAGTCCCTTATCTGTGCAAATACAGACAGAAGATAAACAATTATTAACTTACAATTACAGTTGTACCATGTATGCAATGAAAATAGTAATGAAAGGCCTCAGACAAGTGAGGTGGTTTAAAAGCTGATTATTTTTAGGAAGTACCCTTATATTTAACTCCTTAATGACAAGGCACGTACAGTATATAGTGCTGTGAAAAAGATGGTCTCACTGATCTCAGAAGTGATAGGGTAAAAAAACAGCAGGTGGGAGGTTTCTACAGGCATGAGATTACCAGGATAGCCTTCCCCATCGCATGCAGTCATGGCTAGCATCTACTGCAACTGTCTCAATCGCAACATGTAATTGTCTGCTGATACTCGACGGCAGTAGTGCATGCCAAGATCACATGTTAGCAGTGATGCCGACCAGTAATAATGATTGCCCTCTAGGCTGTCTGATCAGCCTAAGAGACAAGCGCAGTGAGGACAAACCTTCACTGTCAATGCCTTTCACAGCAATCACTGAGCCTGGGGGGTGGGAAGGAGAATCTATTAAACTATTAAACAGTGCATTATTAGGGATTGTTAGCATTAGGGCTAGGGAGAGTTGGGTTATATTTGCTTATGGTTAGTTCGTTTAGAATTAGCTACGGTTAGAAAAAGGAAATATAACCAACAGATTTCTCAGAGGTTGATGATGGTTAAATGGTTAAATAAAATGTGTCAAACTGCTCCCAGGGAGTCCATGCTTTTAAATATATGCACTTGTTTAGCATTTTTGGATTATATGACTTATTGAAGTTATAGTCTTGGTAAACCAAATTTTGCAAAGGTTAATTTGAAAACTGCAATTCAATTAATGCAATATTATAACTACCAAGAATGAATTAAACGGACACTATAGTCACCAGAACAACTACAGCTTATTGAATTTGTGCTGGAGAGTAGAATCATTACCGTCAGGCTTTTTGCTGTAAACACTGTCTTTTCAGAGAAAATGCAGTGTTTACATTACAGCCTAGTCGCAGGCATAGGCAACCTTCGGCACTCCCAATGTTTTGGACTACACCTCCCATGATGCTTTGCCAGCATTATGGGTGTAGGAGCATTATGGGGGATGTAACTTCACTGGCCACTCCTCAGATGGCTGTTAGAGATCCTTCCTGGGTCACGGCTGCCTAAAATGCATCCAAACATTCAGTATCTCCTTCCTCTGCATGCAGACACTGAACTTTCCTCATAGAGATTCATTGATTCAATTCATCTCTATGAGGAGATGCTGATAGACCAGGGCTGTGTTTGAATCATGCTGGCTCTGCCCCTGATCTGCCTCCTTGTCAGTCTCAGCCAATCCTATGGGGAAGCATTGTGATTGGATCAGGCTACCACTTCTGCTGATGTCAGCAGGCAGTGGGCAGGTCTAAAGGAAACAGAGCCAGAGCTAGCAGCTCCAAACTTGAAAACAAGTAAGATTTTGCTATTTTTAGGGAGGCAAGAGGGGGGCAGGGGTGGATGGTGGTTTTAACCCTATAGGGTCAGGAATAATGTTTCTGGGGCCCAGGGGTCTTTCTTCGCCATGGCATGTTTTAGCTAGGATTACTTATATGTCTACTGTCTTAAGATTTATGCCATGCTGTTTTTCTGTTCAACATTGTTTTAAATTATTTTTTTAAATGTGCAGCATTAATGACACACTGCTGATTTCTGATGTCAATGTTAATGAAAATAATGTGATTTTACCACCTTGTATTCTGATATTATTTTTAAACCTTTGACCCTAAATTAGAGGGGCAACGGTTTAAAAATAATATCAGGAAGTATTACTTTACTGAGAGGGTAGTGGATGCATGGAATAGCCTTCCAGCTGAAGTGGTAGAGGTTAACACAGTGATGGAGTTTAAGCATGCATGGGATAGGCATAAGCTATCCTAACTATAAGATAAGGCTAGGGACTAATGAAAGTATTTTAAAAAACTGGGCAGACTAGATGGGCTGAATGGTTCTTATCTGCCGTCACATTCTATGTTTCTGCGTTTCATGCCTGGACTACAAAAATAAAGAATTAAATTTTTAAAAAAAAAGGTGTTTGGGTCACTTGCCATAGAAAGTTTGCAGATCTCATCTGTCATAATGCAACTGTATTTTGGCATATACCCTAAGAAAACCACTAACGTATATTTTTATGGGGGAGAGAACATTGGTTTGGTAGCTCTAGGCTGAGAGCACATCGTCTGTACTTTCAAACATGATGTTTTTATCATATAATATGTCAAATTATTATTAAAGTCCAATTTATTATTTTTTGATTCAAAAGTCAAGAAAGGAAAACATTTTATATTGATGTGCTAGGCTGCTAGCAGACATTCATACAGTTCATACAGGCTTGTGAGAGTTTTATTCACATATTTTCCCTGCCCGACAATAAAATCCTCTAGATATTTCAAAAGTGGCGTTGTAACATGAAATATATCAATATAAGAGTACAATGCTTTTCATGGCAAAATGGGTGCAGTCCAGTTTAGTTATGCTTAATAAGTGTAACTCGATCACTTGCTTTATTTGCCAATTGTAAAAGTTAGTTGGAACCTTTTAGGTGTTTTGACATGACTATTTGGAAATTGTGTTCTCTACTGGAACAGCCACCGGTAACAATAACAAAAAGTTAATGTCTCATGGGGTCCAAGTGTTGAATGATTAGAAAGGGTTAGGTGCAAGGGTAGCCAATCAAAAGCTCTTTCCAGCTTTTATTGAACTACAACGATCTGGCCAAACATTGATAGTTGCAACAACAGCTGGAGTTCTACAAGTCAGCTACCGTGGGTAAAATTAACTTTCCAGAGTTTGTTTAATGTAGCATAAATGGTCTTAGATAGTGAATATCACATTGGAGTACACACTACAAAACTATGTAAAAAAAAAAAACACTAAAGGGACACCAAAACATCATTAGCTTAGTGAAGCAGTTTTACTATCTAGACCAAGCTCCTGCAGTCTCACTGCTCAATTCTCTGCCATTTAGGAGTTAAATCGCTTTGTTTATCCAACCCTAAGCACACCTCCCTGCATGTTAATTACACAGCCTTCCTAAAAACTTCCTGTAAAGAGTCATCTAATGTTTACACCACCTCTATTGCAAATTCTGTTTAATTTAGAACCACGTATCTCCAGCTCTGTTAATAGCTCACTAGATGTATGGAGAATGATGGATTCAGCGCTTAGTGTTCAATAGAATAGTAGTAAAATCTATATAGGCTGCAACCTAAAGGTATGACGTTCCCTCACAAAACATCAGAAAGAGAATCTGGAAGATAGGGGGTTATAGGTCGCGCCAAAAACATACAAAATAAAGAATAAAGAACCAAATTTCTGAAGAGTGTAAAATAGTGATAAAAATAACACCATAAAAATGTAGTAAAAAATAGTGAGAATATAATATGTACTTACATATATCAATACAGTAAAATACAAATAAGCCCTAAGGTGAACAAAATGGCGAGGTCCACTTGAAAGGCTGGAGGGTGGTAATAGTCCATACAAATAGAGTTGAGGAGTAGTCGGTTATTCTTGTTCCAGATGGAAATATGCAAATAGAACGAAAAGAAAATCCAATAGTGCAGACTGCAGCTTGAGCTTCTTTAAAATGAAAGAGCCAAAACGAAAAGGTATTGCACTCACCTATTTAAGAGCTTGGACTAGCTCAGGTATGATTCGCACTCAGTGGTATTAGTCCCCCACTGATGGGATGTTGGTATTTATAGGCGGAGAAGGTCCTCAGAAGAGAGAGAAGAAACAACACAAATATAGTGCTCACTGTATTAATGTTAAAATGGAGAGAGATAAAAGTATGGAATACTTACATTTGAGTGAGCAGAATGTACTGCTCGCTCCTTTTGGCGTAGGTGGTATAATCCCCACCTAGGATTCTTGAGCAAAGAGGTAGTTTTGTATACTAAATAACCAGGTCCGGAAATGAAAAAAGTAAATAGAAATAAAATAAAATAAAGGGTGTATGGCAAAATAGAAAATAATAGCCAATATTCCTTTATTAATACATATATAAAATAGCCAAAATGCGTTTCGCCACACAGGGCTTTATCAACTGGCAATTCAAAGAACACAGACCTGGTATAGAATGGTCTTATATAAGCAGTAAGTCCATTAGCAATTTCAAAATTCGTGCCAAAATGACATCATAATTTATGCACCAAATAGTTGATATAATATAATTTTTAAAAACAAAATAAAATATTCATACAATGATATACATAATTTAAAAATAAAAAATTCACTCAAATTTGTTACAATACAGTTGTTTTATATACAGAAAATTGGTGTTAAAATAAAGAAGAGATAATTTCCGTGTTCGGGCGGTCACGTGACGTGACGCAACCAATGGCGTGCTTGCGTCACGTGCTTCGCCGTGGGGGAAAGTGGGGACTGTAGTCAGGAAGGGGCATTGGTGATATAGCTCACGGCTAAAGAGATTCAAAGTGTTGGTGTCAATATAAAGAAAGATGATTTCCGGGTTCCGGCGGGTTTAACATTAATACTCACTGTGCACTATATTTGTGTTATTTCTTCTCTCTCTTCTGAGGACCTTCTCCGCCTATAAATACCAACATCCCATCAGTGGGGGACTAATACCACTGAGTGCGAATCATACCTGAGCTAGTCCAAGCTCTTAAATAGGTGAGTGCAATACCTTTTCGTTTTGGCTCTTTAATTTTAAAGAAGCTCAAGCTGCAGTCTGCACTATTGGATTTTCTTTTCGTTTTATTTGCATATTTCCATCTGGAACAAGAATAACCGACTACTCCTCAACTCTATTTGTATGGACTATTACCACCCTCCAGCCTTTCAAGTGGACCTGGCCATTTTGTTCACCTTAGGACTTATTTGTATTTTACTGTATTGATATATGTAAGTACATATTATATTCTCACTATTTTTTACTACATTTTTATGGTGTTATTTTGATCACTATTTTACACTCTTCAGAAATTTGGTTCTTTATTCTTTATTTTGTATGTTTTTGGCGCGACCTATAACCACCTATCTTCCAATAGCTCGCTAGACCCTGCAGGAGCCTAGGTAATTAAAGTTCAAGTTACAGAGCAGGAGATACAAGCTTTTAAAGTTAGTTACATGTGATTAAAAATGAAACCATGTTGTTTTCATGCAAGCTGTGTCAGTCACAGCCAGGGGAACAAAAACAAAACTGATTTAACTCCTAAATGGCAGTGGATTGAACAGTGAGACTGAATGGGCATGATATATACACCAATACTGCTTCATTAAGCTAAAGTTGTGTTGGTGACTGTAGTGTCCCTTTAAATTAAAACTTGTCTGATGCCTTGGTTACATTGAAAAGGACTCTATAGACACCCAGACCACTTGATCTCAAGGAAGTGGTCTGGGTGTCATGTTCCCCTCGTTTTAACCCTGCAAAGTAAAATGTTTTTATGTATGAACATACAGTGATAAGGAGGAATTAAACCACGTTTATATTTCTCCTCCTCATTGGCAGTGTCTGCCCTGGCTGTGACTGGACTGTGCCTAGTTTGTGATATAATCTGTACATACACACAATTTATATATACAAATATATATACACACACAACATACGCATACACAATGTCATATATACTACATGATTTGCTCAATATTACAACAGTCAGACCACATACTGCATAGTGTCTCACATCATCATTACAGTGCAGGGTTCTCTAATTTCTAGGCAGCGTTGGAACATGCATGTCCCTGTGTGCCCAATATTAGTGGAGGTTACACTCCCAGGCAGCAGCGGATATTTGCAGGTGTTATAATTGAAATTTAGTCCTCTCCCATTAGTTAAATGTAGGTACAGAGAGAAGATGAGGAGACAGAGACAGAGTTAATCATGACATATCATTATCAGGAGAGGGTGTGAATAATAGTGGAAGCTTCAAATAGCCACTGCTGCCTAGAAGTGTAACTCCCACCAATCTAGAACATACCGAAGTGTTACTCCTACCAGTTTAGTACATACTAAAGTGTAACTCCCACCAATCTAGAACAGATCGAGACATCTATCTATCTGTCTATCTCTCTATCTATCTATTTATCCATCTGCCAGTTTGTTGGACTGGCTATCCATCCATCCATCCAAATATCTATAGATAGATAGATAGATAGATAGATAGATAGATAGATAGATAGAAAATCGATCTATCTATCTCTATATCTATCTATCTGTCTATCTATCTATCTATCTATCCATCTGCCAGTTTGTTGGACTGGCTATCCATCCATCCAAATATCTATAGATAGATAGAAAATCTATCTATAGATATTTGGATGGATGGATGGGTGGATAGCCAATCCAACAAACTGGCAGATGGATAGAATATCTATCTATCTATCTATCTATCTATCTATCTATCTTTAACAGAATAACATGTTTTAATTATGCTGAGTGTGAGAGGGATGTGCAATGCACTACCAATCAATAAAGGGTTTATTGTATGGTTGTGTTTTGTAGCCAAGTGTTACAATGACATTTATTGGCTTTGTGAATGTTTTATGGAGTGTAGGAAGGAGTGTTACAAATATGGCTTTTCAACCATATACAGATGACACATCCATGTACTGTATAGCTGCATTTAGTGTTCTATGAGTCAGAAGACCATAAGCTTCCACAGACTGATGTCATTATACCCATTAGAATCGTAAATTAGTTCCAGAGACACGGACTTGTCAGTGACAGCACCTCATACTATTTTTTTTTTTCCTAGCAATTCTGCTGTGAGTTTATCACAATAAACTCAACATATGAATATTATTTGCATTATTTTAACTGTAACCACTTTAAGAACTGAAAGTGTTTCAGTATGGAGGTTGCCATCTTGAAACTGTGTAACAAGTTTCAAACACCCAATGAAGGCTGTAGGGAGCTGGGCTGTCATCAGTTATTCAGAGATTTGGATGGGCTGTTGTGGAAATTCATGCCTTTATCAGCTGAGCAGCATGAGAGGGGCATTGTAAGGAAAATGAGAGCCCTCATGTTTTTGAAACAATTTTAAAATGGTTTAAAACAAACTGGCCCAAAATAGTTCTTTTGGGACAGAAGAGGATTGACAGACAAAATAAAGTCAGTATAATAATTGGGGGTTTATACCTCTCAATAGCCCCAGATATGGCAGGACATTGCCAAATTGATTTACCATCTTAGTTTGCCCTCTTGGATCCTGCTTTTAGGGACAGTAATCGCTGTTCCATGCTTTTGGGGACCCCCATTCACCCAAGCAACAGGGCATCATCAGACACGCTTGCACTGTGTAAACTAGATTCAGGGATTTTGGTTTAAAGGAGAGCATTTCACAAATTAAAATCAATAGAGGGCTGCTCTGGCAATTAAAGAATCAGGTCAGATCAGGAACAGGTAGTCTAATATAGAAACATGAATTCTCAGCATTGTTAGATGACATGACTGCAGAGGGAAACACCACCTTCTGACCAGAGACATGATTCATCTAATGAGAAACCCAGAGGTAAGGTGTCAGAGGCACACTAAAGCTGTCAAGAAGACAGATTTCCTCCAAACCATGCAGGCATCTGAAAACGTGTGGCAGGATTATACATCCACTCAGATAAGTTTGACCCTCTATGTAGTAAAGCTAAGCTTTCAAAAGAGCAATCCAAAGATGTGTTAAAATATATACAATAAATAGATTCAATCAAATCTGGAAATCTAAAGATTATTGTATTGTTTATACACTATAATGTCCACAGCAGCAAACAGTTAAAGGGGCAGTATAAACACCATAACCACTATAGAATATAGGCTATTAGCCCTGTCAAGTGTTTGAGTAAAATTGCGGGTCCCCCAGGAACCCAAAGACCATTCCCGTCACCTGCCGAATTGCTAAAGTGGAATTTACCCTGTTTTATTACCAATATAAATTTTGTACCTGTCTAGATAGAAGTGATCGTCAAAGCATATCAGTTGATGCTCACAGTTATCAGTACCCTCCAAATATGGTAAAAAAAAACCTGAAATCGTTAATGCAGAAGTGTATTACTGTATTAAGCAAGATTCTTTTTAAGAGTTTTTTTTTTTACAACATTTGAATAAAGAAGGAACTGTTTGTAATTTTGGTTTTGTGAGAAATTGCATACTTTAATCGAGTCTAGAAAATCTGATACCGTTTTTTTTACATTTTAAAATCCTAAATATAAAATAATCAAGAAAGACTTCAACCCTGGCACACATAAACACAACCAAGCACCACTCAAAGAATCAGGCTGACTCAGACTGCCAATCAAGCAGACCGGCCCACCAAGGATGGACCAGGCAAAGTGTGCTGTATCATAGTGCCCTGAATATAGCACAAGCATGTCTAATAATGCGTTCGCTCAACACTTTCTGGGGACACTTCCCTGGCAAGTCGGGACAGTGAGATAGGACCTGAAATTGGAACGGATGGCAGACATGCCATGACGTGTTATGGATTATTGGGTTTAGGTTTAGAGTTTGGTTAAATTTAGTACTGGGGTAAGTGGGGTGTTTCATGTTTAACCGAAATAAAGCCTAGGATTAAGGTAAAGGTTTGTTTCTTTTAGGTTCAGGCTTTGATTGCCTAAATGTGGGACTAAGGAAAGATTTTTGGAGAGGTTAAATTTAGGGTTAGGCAATAGGCTATTAGACAAATGTTTTTGAGATTTAGTTGCCTAAAACTAGACTAAAACTAAAACAATTCAGATGACTAAAATATGACTAAGACTAAAATGGCTTTTTAGTAAAAAAAGAAACTATGACAAACTAAATGACAAACGGGGGAGAGAGGAGAAGAATTGAGACACATGGGGGGACTAAGAGAATAAGACACATGGAGGGATGGGGCAAAAGAGACTCAGAGGGGCTGGGGAAGTGGCAAAAGACACTCAAAAGGGCTTGGAAAGGGGCAAAAGAGACTCAGAGGGGCTGGGGAAGGGGCAAAAGAGACACAGAGGGACCGGGGAAGGGGCAAAAGAGACAGATAGAGGCTTTAATAAAACACATTAGATTTTAGCCGTGTCAACTAAAATCTACTGGAGCTTTAGTCGACTAAAACTAAGCTAAAATGAAAACAAATCAAATGACTAAAACTAAAATGGCTTTTTAGTCAAAGGAATATGACTAAAAGTAAATTGAAATTTTCTGCCAAAATTAACACTGCCTCTTGTGTCTTCTACAGCCCAATCAGACTCCCATGATTGTTGAACTGCAGTAGTATGCATTACAATGCCGCCCTTGCTTATCCTGCAAGGTATTTCCTGTGTGAGAGGCTGTTAGTGGGCAGATAGGAAGTGATTGATCCCTTCCACTTCCTGTCCAGCCTCACACACAGACACTGGAGGAGCTTGACAGCACTAAGTCTTACGCCCTCAATAACTGTTCCTGCAGCTCTGTTATTAAACATAGGAGACTGATTGGACTACAGAGGACACTGGCCAAGGTTCCAGGTACTTATATCGTTCCACCAGCCCACCTCCAAAATTGTACGTTTAAGTGATGCAAACAGGTGCCCTCTACAGAACATGCACCGATAGGCGGGTACCTAATCTGTCCCATGGGAAAGTCTGGACTTCAGCTTTCATTAGTAGCATGTAAAGCACTAAAAGTGGAGCAATTGCCATGGAAACAAGTGGAACCACAGGCACATTCCATTGGTAACTGCACCCTTTTTAGATGACCAATTGCTATGACCAACATATTGCATAACAAGATGGACTCATTGGGGGTAGATTTGCTAGAAGCTCTTCAAAGGGTGTAGAGCAAAAACTGCAAATTTACTCTGCACTTCTATGTAGTAAATACTTACTAGGGACCTTGCTAATCTTAAGCATTTACTACTTTATGTCCAAGTGCCATTTGTAATAACGGAGTAGCTAGATCCTTTGTATGTGCAATGCAAGATGCAATGTGAAAGCAGCTGAGGTCCTGTAGATATTGAACATGACGAGACTCCTGCTCAGTGCACAGAAAATTCAGCTGTTGGTTTGAGACCAGATTAAAAGCAATGGGAGGCTTAACTCAGTGGGGCTTTTGACAAACTAAACATATAATACATTCATAAATTCTAGATCTCAAGTTCATCTCAAGTAGATCTGATTTCCACACAGTTAAAAAAAAATTTCATTATTCGACTATAACTTGTTGTTGGCGGCTAGAATTGGCACCTTACTCAACAAATCCTTTTTAAATTAAGTAAACTTCATATTTCCTCCGTGCTTGTGAAGGACTGAGGGCAAACATAGTAAATATTGCCATAATATAAATACAACATACTCATTTTTTACCCTTGTGCATTGGTCATCAACCTGTGTTTGAATCTAGCACAGTTAATCTAACACTACAATGATTATAGTGATAAATATCCCAGAAAATATACAACTGCCAAAGAGAAACATCATCTTTAGTAATTTTTTTCACTTCATGTTAATTGCAAACATTTAAAAAAAAATTTTTTTAATTTTCTTGAAAGGGAGGTAAACTGAGCATCTGACGTACGTATAAAAAGGTTAAGGATGGCATGGAGCTCCATACTCAGTTAATGTTAACAGTCTGTTATTCCATGACGTTCCGATCAGGAAGACTAATATTGAGATCTTATGTTCTCCGTTGTCATAATGACATAGGATGTTGGCAGTACTTTAAGTCAAGGTAGTAAAAATTACAAAAAAATTTTTTTTTTTAAATGAGTAAAGAATATCTGAATAATACCATCTAGCTCTACCAGGTTTGTGAAAAAAGACAACTATTATATACCATCTAGCTCTTTTTTTCATTTGGATTTTATTACATGTCCTCACTAATGCTTTGTACAAGTATCAGTTTTGAAATCACAACAGAATGAATAGCTAAATAGTACAAACTTTCTTTTTTGTAGTAAAGCACTGCTTTACTGATGTGGAAAAAGATTTATAAAGTAAAAACTATTGTAGCTAATTTTTGGAAAAAAAAGTTTTAAAAAATGACATTGGACTGTCTGTTTAAAATAAACGAGCTAAAATCCAATATTGACGCGTTTTGATAACTTCAAAGCCACCAGAGTTTAAACTAAAGAGAAGCCAGTTACTGGCCATACTTTTTTTTATGAGTTTATACGTGCACAGCCGTAGTTGTGCTCAGAACAGATGGTTGTGCAGTACCACTCCCAGAAACCTTTGCAGTGCTTCTTGATGATACGTACAACTGTGCTACTATGGTTTAGAGGGGAATACCAGAAAGTGTGGGCTTATTTAGCTGTGATATTATAAACGTGTCTTCAAGAACCAGCAAGAAGAGGTATTTTAGAATGAGGGAGGTGGGACAGAGTGCTGAAATATATATAAATATGAAAAACCTAGATAAAATTAAGTTGGTAAAATATACAGATAATTATTGATGCCAAAAAAAATGTAAAATATATAATTTTGTGTGGTATCTGGAGCTTCCTTCCTACAAGTTTTCAAAGGGTCGCTGTAAGGTCATCCAAGTATAGGTTTACCCACTGACGTTTGAAAATGAAGAAGAGTCAGATAGACCTTAACCCAGAAGATTGTCTATGATGTGACTAGTTCTGAGACTATCCAATTCTAGCTGCCACCCCAGCTATTCTTGATATTTCTTTAAATTGTAAGGACATGCTCTTTTATTGTAAATATGTTTGGATTTTTGGCTGTAGATTCATTATAAAGACATTTCTACTCAAATTCACCATACACCCCGCTCTCAAGTGAGAGGGGAACAGCACTTGGCTATTGTGGATGATAGGCTGTCTGTAGAAGGGGATTGAGTACTACATCTTGGAATTCATGAATCCACTTTTGCATGTGTTTATCAGTGTGCACAATAACAGTATCCTTCTGGAATATAAGAACATCACGAGGGAAGTCTTTGAACCGCACTGTGCACCTGGTCCTATAAATGCAATAATTCCTTGGCCATTATATGACCACATAGACCAATCGTCAAACTTAATGACTCCCACGAGATAGCTGACCGTATCATTACAGACACCCCACCACGTTTAACAGTCGTCAATGGACATTTTGCGTTGAATGCATCTGTTGGTTTTCTCCAGACATAAATCTGTCCATATGTAGAAAATAGAGTGAACGATGACTCAAGAGACCATATAACTTTTTTTCCAGGGCAAAGGAATCCATGTTTTGTACTTCTTTCATTAGGTTTTGTGTTGTCGTGAGCTGGCCTTGGGTATGAGCTGTTCCCAAGCTGCAGCTTAGCCATGAATTGTAGCTTCACGAAGCTCCCTATGTGTTTTTTTGAGAATGAGTCATAGGGATGGTGATTTAATTATGTGTTAATACTAGAGGCTGTAATTTTGGGGCACTTGTCCTTGTATCCCAGTGAGCCTCAACTTGCACTCCCTTGTCCTCTTTAATGTAGTACGTCAATGTATACTGTAGGCTGACATAGGTTATTAGAATGTTCCTCTTGACAATGATAAAATAAAAAATTTGCAGGATTGCAGCCAGTTGACCAGGAATTGAAGCAATGAGAGTATGGTGCTCTTTGGGCATATATATATATATATATATATATACACATACATACACACGTAAACATATTTGCCCTACTATCACACTAATACCATTTCAAAAATAGATTTGGATTTACATTACACTGCAGAGGACACATTGCGTGCAAAAACCTGATCTACAGCCAATAATCCAAACATATTTAAAATAAAAGAGCATGTAAGGTCCTTACAGTTTAAAGAAATTTCAAGAATTAATATGCTATCCTTTAAACATTTGAAGTACATCAACTCATTCATCCACAAGCACATTTTAAAATTGTTGCCTTTTGGCAAAACCTATTATTTCTGTCTCTGCACAAGTACACATACACACTATACACGTATTCTAAATCATAAATCTCTTCTTTATGCCTTTGGCCATATTCAGGTTCTTTTTCCACCAAGTATTCTTTAGATAAATATTGCTAATTTTAACATTTCAGTTTACTTCATCTGTTCAGAGCTTCTAGGACAATAAGATTAGACTGTAAATTTTGGTCAGTGGCCTCAGCTGTCAGAATGTTTTAGAATCCCAACACGCACATACGGAACAATACAGAGGACAGTTTGGTCATTTGAGATGGCTGGGGTTAACATAATATAAAGAAATAGAAATATCATGCAACAGGCTTTAGTCAAAGGAGTACAGAATAGTGGTAATACGGGTAAGCAAGGGTAAGGTCAAGATTGGCGAGATCAAAATAGTCAAAAGCAAGTCAATGTCAACATACAAACAATCAGAGGCCAGTACAGAACGCACTCTCAGGATATGAAAGATCTTGATATGGCACACGTCTCCTGGTGGACTGAGGTAATATAGGGCTACTGTCTGGTGTCATCTGGTGAACAATGCCAGAGCACCATAGAAGTGTAAAGCGAGAAAGACACTGTCCTGTCATTCTGGCTATATAAGAAATTATACGGACAGTGTTCCACATAATTCATGACATTGGAACAACGTTCTCGGTGCTCGTTCTCTCATTAATACTATGTTGGTTGGTTTGAGGACAACTTGTGTTATTTTCAATGACAGGACGGCGCACTGTGTCATGTTTGTTGGGGCCACAGATGTCATGCAAGTGTCAAATTTTGCTAACCTTGTGATGATGGATGGAGCGTCCTGCATCAAAATTGACCCTAGAATGATGCACTGTGTCACATTGAGTAGGTGAATAACACTGGCTAGAGGTGGGTACCCTGACATCAAACAACTGATTGGAAAATATAATAAAGTCGTTTTTTTTCTCAATGGAATGTACAAAAAAATCTTACAGAAAAGCCTTAATTATATTGTACAATGTACATGGAATTTTGGCTATGTGAATAAAGAAATTATGAGGTATAGGTCCCTCAAAATCAGTATCAACTAACTTTAAGGCAAATCATCTCTTTTGGACTATCATACTTAGCCAGCGAGAAACACATTCGGAGTGTCACCATTTAGTGTTGCAGCTCTTTTCTTATGTCTAAATAATTATAATAATAATAATAATAACAACAACACAAATTTTGCATTCACATTTTTGGATCTATAAGTACAAATCACAGTTAAACATTTTACATGAGATGGGTTTTTAACTTATCAGTTTCGGAGGGATATCTTTTTTAACATATCGAACTTAAGATTTCCTTGGCTAATCAAAATAGCTTCCTCCTTTCATTCCCAGAAACCCAAACTCATCTAATTCACTGTCCTCTGTATCATTCATGACCACTTTTATCAATGACAAAATCATTGTCTGAAGAATTGTTGCTTTTTTAAAGGACAGAAAGTATTAGCCTCATTTATTTTGTGATTATTCTCACATTCTTTTCTTTCCCACTACGTGTGAATCTCTTTCGCCCCGCATCTGGATAAGTGTTTAACCCCTTAAGGACCAAATTTCTGGAATAAAAGGGAATCATGACATGTCACACATGTCATGTGTCCTTAAGGGGTTAAATGCAACAAATCATTATGTTTTCATGTTTAGTGAATGGACAATTTTGCATCACCTTCTCAAATTTTGAGAAAACGCTTCCAGATTCTCCTTATCTGATACTGGCTGTGATTTAATATTTTTGGATAAGCTTTTCAAATAATGTAATATTTTTGGATCCATTTTGAACATTCTAATTTTTTTCAATATATTAAGATATCACAAGATATCATATAAAAAAAATATCGGAAAAAATATTAACATAATAAAACATTTTTCAAAATATTTAATCGTTTTTTAGAAGTTTATAAAAAAAACTATAATTATATCATTTGAAAGCTTAATAAAAATATTAAATTGAAGCCATTCTATGGATGGATATTTACACTGAACACCCACTTCGCAGGGAAAATAAGGTCGCCACTCAACACTTTGATCTAGTCCTTTTTAATAGTCTCCAAATTGGAGTCAGTGGTATGACCTATTTGTCAAGGGTTGTAAGTTCTATCTGGCTCTTACTTGCCATAGTAAATCAATAAGTGAAACTAATAATTGAGTGAAACTTTATTAGCTGTAATGTAGCTGCCAAATATAATTAAATCACTTGTTAACAGAAAACTGCAAAGTAAACTTGTGGGGAATAGAATTCTCCTCAAAGAAAAAAAAATTGCGTACACCGTGGAAAGCCAGGAAAGCTGGCTTGAAGATTTCTGACTGAGGCAGCTTTCCCAGTTCTTACACAGCTGATAAATTAACTTCAGAGACAAAAACGCGCAATAATAAATGGGAAACTATCACTCATGCCAATCTTGCCAACCAATATGGCCGCCTCAAGCACAAGTTGCTCTGATGACAGAACTGTAACTAACAGCTGTCTACGGAAGTCCACTTTCTCCCCACACTATATAAACTTCTAAAATGGAAAAACCGTTAGCTATAACATAAGAAAATATATAAAGAAATGTCACTAAAATAAGCCTGAGACTAGAATAGTAAAAAGCCTAAATGCAGTGCTTACAATTCAGTCTTAAGAAAAAGATCAAAACAGTTCTAAAGCAACAATAATAAATATTAAATAGCCGATATTGTAAATGGAAATCAGTGTACATCTAAACCACATTAATTATAGCCTAGATTAACACTGCATTCAATATATAGTTAAAGTAGTTATGAGATAAGAAAATGCGTATAATGCAATAATGTATAAAAATTCATGGGAGCAGCAAAACTATGTTTCTTAGTTGGCTGATCTGAAATGGAATATGCTGTTATGTGATTGATTATGCTACAGTTTAATGCTTAGCATTTATGTACATTTTTTTTCATTCAAGTTTAAATAGACTGTAAATAAAGTTACATTTGAATGAAATGAACACTCCAAGAACCAAAACCAGTACTGTATGCTGTCGTGGTTATGATGTTAGGAGTGCCTTGGCACCCCCCCAAATGTATGTATGTTTTAACAGTTAAAACTTCTTAACTGGGGTCTGGTGGGAGCCTGCCCCTGTCCTTTCCCTCTCGACCAGACGTTCTGTGGCTGTCCAATCAGAGACTTCCCAGTTCAATGAGAAGTCTTTGCAAAGCAGATGCTCTGGGCAATTGCTGCCTCCTGAGTTTAACTTCACTGAACTACACAACCAGGAAGTAACAGGACTAGTTGTCTGATTGACAGCCAGTGGGGTGTCACAAGGTTAATTTATAAAAGTGCCAATTTCTATTGAATCTGCACTTTTAGTAAAATGAAAAAAAGACCACATTCTTCACACAGAGCTCTCCAGCAAGCTAATGTGTATTAGATGTGTGGAATGTTCCTTTAATTTAAGCAGACAGCTTCTGGCCCTCATTGAGGTACGCATCAGCATCACTAAACACCATTAGAAAACAGTTTGACTACTTACATGGGGGATGCCAGGACATACCTGGCTCAGTAACCAGTGGTTGTGATGATTGGAATGTACCTTTTAAGTTACCTGTCTCTTTGCAATCCTATCCTGTTATGCTGTGTGGATTCCTGGGATTAAATATTTAGACAGTCTACAACCTACTCTCTGTCTATAAGGCTTCTGCCGCCCTAGAGCAAACACACATACACGCACACATAATCATTATCGACTCGATGATCGATGATTAAAGCTCTTTATATTTTTTTAAAGTACTTATTTAACCATGATATGTATGCTGCTTGAGACTTGTTTTTTATTGAGGCCTGCTGAAAGTAAAAAATTATAGAAAGATTTTGTTACATGTGAATTTTTACATTTTTACTACTGAAACATTTTGGAGGAATGTTGTAGAAATTCAGACTTGATGGTCAATATTTTAATTCTGCAATTTTAAATGTCGGCCAAAACGTAAATCACACTGTGAATTATTAAAAGCTGGCAGGTTTGCTGAGGCATGTTGAGACTTGATATTATTGCCAAATTGTAATTGGTAGGCAGGCTGCTTATACTATCAATACAAAACAAAACACTTTGCTGCTCAGTATAGTAAGAATTTCCTGTTATTTCACAGGAAATAAAAAAAAATAGCATTCATTTAAAAATGGGTTTCTTATTTTCCATTTTAAGTTGGAACTAAAAGACCATTTTCTATGATGATAAAATATAGGGATACTTAAACATAGAACCTTTACACTTACATTTACACTTTCTAACATTTCAATTTAGTGGTGGGGGAGTATTGGAAGTTTTACAAGGTACGTTATATTGCGAAATCAGGAATATTGAATAAAACTGATGTCAGGGTACCTAAAAAATTTAATTGTGTAAATTTACAGAATTTGTATTTTTCAAAAATTTATTTATTGTTTATACTTTACAAAAACTAAGGCCCAGGTTGTTTATAAAAGTGAAGACGTTCTCCATTGAGCAATGTCCAAATTTTGTATGTATTAGTATGTTAATTATTATTATTATTTATATAGCGCCATCAGATTCAGTAGTGCAGTACAATGGGAGGACTAACAGACATGTAATTGTAACCAGACAACTGGATGTACAGGAACAGAGAGGTGAAGGGCCCTGTTCAATGAGCTTACATGCTAGAGGGAGTGGGGTATAGTGACACAAAGGGTAAACGTAGGGGTACGAAGTAGGTTGTTAGAAAAATATTCACTGAGGGCTTACTAGGTAATTTTTGACAGTTGCAGGAGAGGAGTCATGGGGGTGGGGGATAAAAACCTGCTAACAGTTTAATTGATATGCTTTCTTGAAGAAGTGAGTTTTCAATTATTTTTGAATAAAAAGTCTTACAGAGAAGGGAAGGGAGTTCCACATGAGAGATGCAGCCCTGGAGAAATCTTGGAGGTGAGCATTAGAGGTGGAAATACGGAGAGAGTATATACGTAGGTCTTTGGCAGAGCGTAGGGGCCTCGACGGGACATATTTGTGTATTACGGAGGATAGGTAGGTTGGAGCAGCATTATGTAGGGACTTGTAAGCAACTTTGCTGCAAGTCTCTTCAATTCTATGTATACCTATGAACTTTGGTATTATGTGCTGACTGGAAGCACAATGAGCATTCGATGGATACAGATAAGTGTCAAATCATTCGAAAAGTGTTTTCCTGGGATGACACCACAGAGCTCCTGGCACCATAATCACTACAGTCAACTATGCTTCCAGGTCAGCTACTTTGGATTCTGATTGAAATTTATTTTGAATTCACCCTCCTATTGATTTGAATTGAATGTAGTTCCGGTCAGTTCACGCTTTAGTGAATAATGCTATTTGATGTGATGGAGTTTAAAAATTCTCAAATGAAGCACAACTTTCTGTTCCTGTATGTCTTGGGGCGACTACTTGTTTGTTATTCCATTTATTGTACAGTAAAGAGGAATAAATTGTCACTTTACTTATAATAATAATAATAATAACATACCAGGGCACGTCTTATATGCACATGTGTTTGTTAGCAGGACATTTTTTACCCTATATCTGATCCAACTGATTGAGAGAATATGGAAAAATATGTGAAGGATGCTTGTAACCTGTGTCAATCCTTACAAGTACAGCCTCTTTCCATTCATTTTAAGTATGGCCGCACTGGAAGGAAGTGATGTCCGTGCACTTCTTCCCAATGCTCAAAGGAAGTCATGCATGATGCACAGCCCTCTAAGCACAGCTTGGAGGCAGACCAATTTTGGACCACAGGAAAGCAACACTGCTGACAAATGGTAGGCAAAGTGGAGGGAGGCTAAAACTTCTTAAATTTGTGTGCAATTTTTGTGCATATGTGTCTGTCGGTGTGTGTGTGTTAACCAATATGTGTATCTCAGGCATTTGTGAATGTTTTTGTCTGTGCATGGCTGTCAGCATGAGCATGTATTTTTGTCAGTGTGTTTGTCTGTCTGGTAGTTTGTATTGGTATCTGTGGGTGTCTGGCATTGAGTGTCCATGTGTGTATCTCTGTTTGGCAGTTCGTATCTGGGTATGTGTGTGTATCTGTGTGTCTGTAATGTATATGTGTGTATATATGAGTGGTGTCTATGCGTTAGGGCATGTATGTGAGAGTCTGCGCATGGGTGAGTGGAAGCCTAGTCCCTAGGTTTGTAAGGGGCTCTAAGGGTTCTGATGGCAGACGGGTTGACACACTCTTTCCGAAAACCCTTTTTCTCATACCCTGCCTTCACTGGGATTTGTTACTTTTCCTCCCTCTCCCATCTTCCCCATGCACTATCTCCCTCATTCATCCACATCTCTCTCCCCTCTTCCCACCCTAAGCAAACATTACAAATTCCAATTTCTCTATTAACAGCTAGGCTAACTGTGACTCAATTCTACCCACGATATGAGATATACAAATATACGGATCATAGAATTACTAGTGCTGCCCCTTGGGACCTTTCTGAATCATATTCTCCAAAAGGGTTCGACAGTTACATTTATAGCAAACCTCCCCTGCAGCCAGAGTCAAGATTTTGGTTGACAATTATTGTTATTATTGTGTTATACTTTACAGCTTCTTGCATTCGTGACTTTATGCTGTACATTTTGTATTTGCATTAAATCTCTGTAGAACAATTGTAGAAGATATTTTTATCTAGAAAAACATGGTGGATCTCACAACTCTAAACAAAATTAGACTTTATGAAAAGAGCAAAATGTATCAAAACATTTCTATGATACATTTATCATTCATCATTTATCAAATGTGCCTTATATTAAACATATAATTTACATTTAATTAATTCATTAATTTTCATATATACATATTTTTAGCTGTGAATGAGAGCCCTCATTTGCCATGACAACATTATCTGACCAACATAAATTAATCAGTGAAATCATTTTAAGTTAAGTCACCACTTAAATAAATCCAGGTACATATAATCTAGAAGCAATCTAGCAGTGGAGGCAGATCCATTTAATCTATTGCATTGTTCAGGGAAATTAGTTTAATTTGTCTAAGGGTGGTGAACATTTAAACACATTTAGGAAAATTACTATCAGGCATTTCGCAAAACATATAAAATTTGCTTGCTTAGTTGCCAAATTAACCAATGGAAAATCTCAAAAGAACAAGATAAACTATTAACTTTTTGTTGTATGGCAACAAGCATGCAGGGGTATTGTAGATGGAAACACACTGTGGATTGAAACAGGAGGTTTATGTTTTAAAACAGCATTTGGAAAATTCATTAATGAGAGTAGCATGCAGAATGGTACAGATAAAACACTTGAAAATATGTAGGACAAAATGGCTTTATCCAGATGTCTCTGTATAAAGGTGTGCTAAATGTTTAAAGGGAGCCATCACTTCAATAGAAATAAAACAGTGAAATAATATATATGATAATGTGATATCATACTTAGTGATGTCCCGAACGGTTCGCCGAACGGTTCGCGAACGGTTCGCCACGGACTTATCAGTGAGTAAACTTTGACCCTGTACCTCACAGTCAGCAGACACATTCCAGCCAATCAGCAGCAGACCCTCCCTCCCAGACCCTCCCACCTCCTGGATAGCTCACTAAGAATGCAGCTTCACAATGAATGTAAAATGGATGCTGTCCAGGAGGTGGGATGGTCTGGGAGGGAAGGAGGGCCTGCTGCTGATTGGCTGGAATGTGTCTGCTGACTGTGAGGTACAGGGTCAAAGTTTACTCAATGATGAGTCCGTGGCGAACCGTTACCGGCGAACCGTTCGCGAACCGTAAGCGAACCGTTCGGCGAACCGTTCGGCACATCACTAATCATACTTAATTTTCTTATAAATGTATATTAAAGATTTAGCATTTATAAAGAATAAACTTACTTTCAATCCAGCACCAGGAATGGTTCTTCCACGCCCTGTCTGACATCACCCTTTCATTCTCTGTGGACCAATCAAATGTTTCTCATAGAGAAGCATTTGGTTTAACTGATCTCAAGGCTGGGAGCGCATGAGCGTGCTCTGAACCAGGGAGGGGAGGGAGTGTGATGCGGAAAAGGGAGGGAGGAAGATATTTAAAAACAAAAAAAATAACTGTAATTCCATGGAGTTGGGGAGGGACTGCACAGAAGACGTAATTTTTGCAGAATTAACATCATGTAACGGGCTGCTGGGGGTGTAACAAGATGAAATGCTGCACATACAGATTGCTTCTTCCATGACTACGTCTACATACAAAAGTGGTCATGTAGGTTGGAGTAACCCTTTCAATATTTTCATAAATTAATGAGAACAATTTTGGAGTTGTTTTACCTAAATTCCCCAAGGCACCTGCAGCCCAGATACATACAGCTCCAACATTTTAGAACTGCTTAACCAATAAATGATATTAATATATGCTAATGCAAGATTCCACGGCCACATTAGCAATTCTGGGGAACATAGGAAGTGTCTCGGTGACCCTCACTTTTAGTCAAACCACTGCAAAATGGTATGACCAAGAACCACGATACTGTGCTTTCAACCCAAAAGCACCATAACTATTTACTGAAGGATGCAGCTTTGAGTGTTGAGCTCTTGTCGATTCAAGTATGCAAACAGATCTTCCTGTTTTAAATTTGGGCTTTAATTGTAAATGGGCTTTAACAGTAAGAAGCTGTTATTGGATCATTGCACAGCAAGATTGTACATCACTGTATCCTTGAGCAGCCAATGGGTTAAGTAGACATCTGTTGTCTCTTTATTTTTAGATCAGTACAGAATGGTTTTACTACAATATAGTTAGAAACATATGTTAAATCCAGGCAGCCTTGTCCCTGAGACTGTAACAAATAAATAAATAAAAATAAAATAATAAAAAACATTTTTGCCGGTGACAATCCAGCCATTTCTACAAACAAGAATTAAAATACATTTTAAGAGGAATAAAAAAGGGATTTCACCAAGCTTACGTTGACTCATTCTAAATGTATTGCAGATAAGGTATATATGCAAAAAAAAATAAAAAAAATAATATAAAACAATATTCTGATTTCATGTTTCTACATTTGCTGCAAACCCTAAATTGTACAACTCCTGCAGTGAGCTCTTCCCAGGCGAGGAAGTGATCCAGCCAATCATGATGCCTCAGTTAATTCTCTATGGTACTGCTGCTGAACACATAAAAAGTGTTTTATGGTTTCAGGGAGTTGTCATTAAATTGTCATCTTTCTTCTACAAGAAAGCCTACAGCTGGACTGCAACCCTAGAACCTGTACAAAAATAATATTAATAAAACAACTAACTATAACCAACACAAAGCACCTAACTCATATGGACATACAGTACAACATTTATGCCAAATAAATACATATAGATTGAATATGTTGTGTGTTTTATGTTTATTTAAAAATGTGTATAAGTTAGCATACCGTGATTGCATTGACCCACAATGACAATAAAATAACAGGAACCAAAGGTAAACATAATTTATCCTTACACAATGCAGCAATATTTAGTAATGTATAGAAATCTTAATGCGACCATCTAACCAGAAAAATTCTTCTCTTTAGTGTGGCCCTCTCATTTAGTGGGGAAGGAGCGTCTACATTTTTACAAAGACCTAAGTTGCAGAGAGCTTGGGCCTAGCTTCTTATTGTAACCTTTTGCAAAGAAGACAGCTACACTATTAAGACGGTGGGACTTTCCAAAGACCTTTTTTGATACCATAAATATCTAGTGAAAATCATGTGAGATGATGTGTTTGCCATCAGCAGCTGCAATGATAGATGGGAAAAAGGCAGGTCCGCCAGAAACCCATTAATATTCTATTATTGCATCCCCCTAAAGGCATTTATAAATAAAACAACTTTCCTATATACGTCTTGTTATTATGTTACATCATACGAGCTGTTTTTGCATGAAGATTCCATCTTAATTTATTTTTTAAGAACTTCTGTTTTGGAGATATCTGTTGACCCATAGTATAGCTGCTGCCAGGTGAAATGAGTTGCCTTGGTCAATAAATGATTAAATAACGCTGCATCCTAACTTACAGTCACGTGGCAGTTTGTTATTTGGATCATGTTATACTGATGGGTATATCTGTCTGTCAAACCCTCTGTCTATCCAGCCCTATCCAGTCATGTTCTTGGGATTTACATTTTCTTAGCATATCTTCTGAAGCCGCTAGAACATATGATAAACTTTCAAGAATTCTTCTCAGTCTCTGTACTCTACTCTGATGACTATGATTTCGTCAAAATGACAATAATTGTTGTATGGGATAAAATCAAAAAAATAACACTGATAGTAATGTGCCTTTAAACTACAGTAAACACACTGAGATATTAGTTTGTGTCAATAAAATACTTTGGTCTAAATTATTTTCTCAATGACATAACTGGCATATAATATTTATTATTGACACAAATGCCAAAACTGGACATTAGGAATGATATACACTGTTCCTTACACACAAAGACAACCCACCCCTCTTCCCTAAAAAAGAGAAACTATTATAACTACCTTTTTTATGACTTGGGAAATCCACGAAGAATAGGGCAAGTACAGCTAATCCAATTGCATTGGACACTGGTCGCCAACGTTTAGGTCTGATGCAGAATCTTCGTGTAACATATTGAAAGAGGTAGATGAGGTGATTTTTAAAATTTCAACGTTGAACCCGGTTCTGCAAAACATGAGATAAGGTTTAATGCACACCCTGTACGCTATATTTGAACCACACCCATTTTTTTTTGTTTCTTCCTGCAATTTTCATTTTCTGCAGAATTCTAGTTATCAACATTTCTTGAAATAGAGAAAAAAAAAATATAATAATATCTAAATAGGCATCTTTTCGCACGGCTATCTTGTTTACATTTTTTTTTATATCCCATTTGACTTATGTGAGTTTTGTTAATATCATTCAATCTTATTTTTGTACAATATTAGTAGATTACTAGGAATAATATATAAAATTATACAAATCAATATTTTTTTCCCCCTTTAGCATTTAAAGCCATTGATAGTTTAGTTTGAAAGAAGCAATAAATAACATAAATTCAAGATCAACATTTACAGATTATCTTCATTAGATTAAAAATGTGCAATTTCTGCAATTATTATGTAACTGAAAAATCACACTTTTTATTGTGAATTTTCATTACTTTCTAAATGTGTAATCTTTATCTATGTGAAAATACAGCTAAACTGCATTCTTCTGAACATATGTGGTACAGAAATGTATTTGGTTTTAATAACTAGTTTATTTGCGATTATCTGATTAGTTACAGGAAATAAAAAATTCATTGGAAAAGTGCTGATAAAGACTTTTTATCTTAATTTAACATGTGCAGATGACTCGAGTCACTATTGACTTTGACAGGGTACATAGTCACTACTTATGGCATTGTGGAGCATTCCCATCTGGGGCACTGTGTTTCCTTGTTTCAAGACTTACTATTAATCAAAGTCTTCTGTTTCCAAAGCAGGATAAAAGGAAGCTCTAATTAAAAAAATAGTTTTTGTGTATTTAATATTTTGTAGTGTCATGCTCGTCAGGGATATTAATAATTTAACTGCCAGATTTGTCCCTTGAAATAGTTTAGTGATGTGGAAGCATGGCGTGCATGGGTCTGCATCTGAGTAACAGCACTTTCCAAATATTTCAGAGGTCAGTTTACGACATATTGCTACCAATATGTTTAATGCCTGGTAATATAACAGATCTGGGGGGACAAATACAGATTTTCACTAATTGCAACTTACACTGGCCAATGAGCATCAAGTTGAGTATTCTTATGGGTACACTCTGAGCACCAAAACAACTTTAGCTTAATGAAGCAGTTTTGATGTATTGATCATACCCATGCAGTCTCACTGCTCAGTTCTCTGCCATTAGGAGTTAATGTTTGTTTATGTTTATGCAGCACTGGGCGTTTTATTTTTCCATTAGTTTTTTTCTAAAGCTCAATCCTTAGAAAAAAAAACAGCTTCATTTCCAATGAGATCTTACAGTACAGTGTGTTTACTTCAGAAGTTATTTTCTCCTGCTCAGCCAATTGAACTTTAATCACACACAGGAGGATGATGAAGGCTCCAACAGGCCATTAACAGTACATGAGATAAGAAGTAGACGCTTTTTCAGGAAGAGTGTAGGAGGATGTGTAAGTTACAGTCAGAGGAGGTGTGACTAAGAATGCATAAACAAAGTGATTTAACAATAAAACACAGGAGAAAAAACACCAACAGTCAGATGTAGCTTTATATAGGCATATATTCCCAATTACCAGAAAACTCTAAATTTAGAAGACATGGAAACATTGCAGCAAATACAATGGGTTTGTTGCTAGAAAAATAAGACACAAGAAAACATTGACAAATGTTTAAATAAAAGTATTTTGTTCAGCAGATAGAGAACATAACAGTCAGTACTTGAAATGGTTCTGCAGTAGCTTGAAATCTATAGTATGACCAGGCTGAGCATAAGTCATTTCACATCTTAAAGTAGGTCAGTCCACTCTAAACAATGCAGTGGTGAAACAACCAATGTAAGCAGACTGCTGTCTCTATGAAATTAACTCAGATAACTCCTGCTGAATGACCACCTACCAACAGATGATATTATTTCAGCTGTAAAGTAGAAAGTTTAGTGTTTTCAGATAATTGTAAAATCAGATACTGGTAAAATGCCTAAAAAGCAGAGTCAGATAACTGATAACTTGTAGACTAGGAGGCATTGCCAAGACTCAAGTCTTTATACCAGTGCCCACAGGAGGACAGCAATTAATATACTACTGTAATAAAGTAAGCTTGACAAGAAGAACATACTTCTGGGGTAATATATTTTGTTGACCGTATACTTGAGCTTAAACTTTTACTAAACTATAGCTGCTATTTTGGTGTCAAGAAGGAATTTTTTCCTAGTTTGTTGCAAAATTGGAAGCGCTTCAGACTGGGTTTTTTTCCCTTCTTTTGGATCAACAGCAAAAACATACGTGAGGAAGGCCGAACTTAATGGACGCAAGTCTCTTTTCAGCTATGTAACTATGTAAACTCCACCTATATCCACTGAAATATATATAGCACATTCCAATAATGAGTACCATTTTAATTGGACAGTTCTTCTTTACAGAGGCTAGGGCCACAGGTTGTTAGGAGTGACATAATGACTTTCCATCGTGTTTTAAGAGTCTTTTGTTTGTTTTTTAGTATTTTTGTAGTGTTTTTATTTGATTTAGCAGTGGCTCTTTCGAGTAACAAAGTCACTGGCTCTGACAGATCACAGGAGCAGGATATTATAAGTCAGATATATTTAAATATACATAACCATTGGCAACGAAAACATCTAAAAACCCATATACATTCTTCTAAGCTTCCATAACCAAAGTTATTTTTAAAACAGCAGCATGTGCTATATCCTAAAAGAATGGTTAAAACATAAATATGGGATAGAACAGGAAATTTGAGTATAGACTGCTTTTCAGGAATACATACAACTTTCACATTTGGTAAATATAATCAGTTTTTCACAACTTACATTTATTCTTAAATCCTCTACAGACAGGTTGAAAAGGTTGTGTCACGTGAAACTTTTTTTTTTAGTTTTTCCAGAAATACATATAAACATTCATGACAAGGCCAACTTTTGAGTTTTTCTAAGGAAACTGATGGGTATTTTGTGAATGGTACATTCTATAAATACCATAATAATAAACTTAACATTTCTTTGAGCATAATGCCTTACGGTTAGTACAATTACATAAAAAAATTGATTATGCCTAATCTATCTGTCAGTCTGTCTGACTAAACATAATTTCATTATTTTAGCATAATGCCTTATGTTAAGTACAATTACACCAAGAATTCATATTATGACGGCTGATTAAAAGAACACTATAGGATCAGGAACACAAACATGTATTCCTGTCCCTACAGTGTTAAAACCATTATCTAGCACTACTTCCCCCCTTGTATTCAAGACTGTGGCTGCTGCCTCTGCCCCTGCTATGCCTCCTTACAGCAGACATCATTAGAAGTGATTCTGTGAGCCAATCAATGCTTCCCCATGGGATTGGCTGAGTCTGTTAAGGGGCAGAGGCAGCACAAGTCAAACACAGCTCTGGCTAATCAGCATCTCCTCGTGAATCAATGCATCTCTATGAGAAAAGTTCAGGGTCTACATGCAGAGGGTGGAGACACTGAATGGCAGTACTGCACACTGTGCAGCACTGCCCCAGGAAGCATCTCTAGTAGCCTTGTGATGAGTGGCCAGTGGGGTTATCACTAAGCTGTAATGTAAACACTGCATTTTCTCTGAAAAGACAGTGCACTGTTTACTGCAAAAAGCCTGAAGGGAATGATTCTACTCACCAGAACAAATACAATAAGCTGTAGTTGCTCTGGTGACTATAGTGTCATTTTAATCTGTCTGTGTACTATAATGTCTCCTATAACATCCTGGCAACTTTTTAAAAGAGAAAGCCTCTGATACAAGGTACAAAACAATCCACAAGACCTCATCAGTGTTTTGGTGAATCAGTAAACTGATGGACAACCTAATCTAACAATCTCATCTGCCCATACAACCTGACCACAATACAACTAGTATAGTAGGAATTTTCAGAGACAAGTTCTAATGTGGTTGACAAGAGGCAATGAAAGAGTGTCTAGCTAGTTATACGTTTGAAGGATGGTATGCCTGTAAAGGTTACTACGATAGCCTTATCCAACCTAAAATCTGTCTAATGTGATGAGTAAAAATACCTTACATAGTGGTAAAATAACTATTTAAGTAGCTGGCCCCTTCTCTTTACAGTAAAAACGTGATTTTACTCCCCTTTTTTCCAAGCTGCGCTGGTGTCACCGGGACTGGGCCTGTCTTACTCCGCCTTTGTGGTTGAGATCATCAAACTTGGTGATCTCAGCCAATTCAATGCTTTCCCAAAGGAAAGCATTCGGAGGCTATTGCACATGCGCAGCAAAACACAGCTCTGGCCAATCAGCATTTCCTCATAGAGATGCACTGAATCAATGCATCTCTATGGGGAGCATTCAGCGTCTGGAAGCACCTCTAGTGGCCCTCTGAGTGACTGTCGCGAGAGGTGTTCCTAGGCACCAATGCAAACACTGCCTTTCCTCTAAAAAGGCAATGTTTACATTAATAAGCCTACAGGAACATGCTATAGACACCGGAAACACTACATTATGCTGTAAATGTTCTGGTGACTACAGTATCCATTTAATGCCTGGAGAAAATTAACTGGCATAAATTATTTTTCTCAATAGCCTATTGAGTATTGATAATGCATCCCTGTCTTCTGAAAATAATCTAGCATGTCTATCATAACCACAGTCATTCACTGAAAACTTTACTAAAACTTCAACCTGTGTTAGCTCTAAATGTGTAATAAAATTAGTCACAAGAGTCATGGCTCTTTTAATTTGTACCTTTCATACATTTTGAGCCTAATTAGGCACAGATGTATCCAATGTATGATTCAGAAGCCTGGAATATGCACTGGGATTTTAATAGCTCTCTATATATCTCAGTTACTCTGAGAATGGGTAAATATTGCAAGTAATTCTTATCTATTCAAGCTAATTGAGGACCACCACGATCACT